CCTTCACATACATGTCTACCAAAAATTGATGAAATAATTGCCTACACCGGGCAGCTAAGAGGTTAAAATCATTTTCTCGCAACATCATATGATACGCATAAAAATCCATACATGATACTTTTTTGTTCGGAGTAGGCTCCTTTGTGACCGGGTTAATGAGTGGAATTTGAAAATGATAACCCTCTTGTCCTTTGCAATAAATCAATGTGTATTGCAGAGCGTCATAAAACTTGTGTGTATCGGCTACCCGTTGCAACGTATCATCACGTGCTCGCAAGACAATGTCTCGTGAAGAAAATTGATCACCACTAATTACGGCTGTTATTCGTTTATCAAAGGTGCATTGTAGCGCCTTTCATGCTCTCCTCGAGGGGTCCGATCTGCGTGAATGACGACTTTATAATCCTCTTCAGGTAGGTTTTCTAAATCAGTTTTAAATATTTTGACTAAAATGTTACGTTCATGCAAGAATCTTTGAAATTTGAACACTGTGTCTCTCTCAACTCCCTGGATAAATTGGCAGCGACGGTCTACCTCAATTTCTTCGTCACCCATAAAATATACTTGTAAAAATTTATGCTGTTCGTTTTCAGCTGGAAAAAGTGAACCTATTATATGATAAATTTGCCCTCGCACCGTAAATGTAGGCGAAAATCCCGGCATTATTATTTCCCGGTCAACTCCGAAGGACGTCATTTGAAAGCATGAGTTATATTTCCGGATCATGTTTAAAAAGCGCCGTGACATAGTCACGGCGCAGCTGCAATTAGCATCATATAAAAAGAGAGTTTTCAAAGGTTCTTCTGGTTCCCCAAGTAACGGAAGAGACAATGTGCCATTGGAACAGCACATGCCTGCGGTCTCATCTTTCCATTTTAAAGCGCTGCAAAATCGACACGCTTGTTCATCAGTCCGATAACAACTAACCTGTGATTTTTATAATCAATCAACGGATCATAATTAATGCTGCGCAATTAAAAACCGACCAATTGTTTCTTTGAAAATTTTGTCGACGTTCAGCTTGGAGCTGTGCATTTGCATCTCTTCGCGCCTGTGTCTGTTCTGGTGTTTCAGATGCCCTTATAGTAGATTGACGTTCAGCTTGCTCAATGAGTCTGTGTTGAGTTTCATCAGGTGTTTCCGCGGCTCTTAAGGCGGCCTGACGTTCCGCTTGTTCGAATAGCCTTTGCTGACTTTGAGCAGGTGTTTCAGTAGCTCTTAAAGTAGATTGACGCTCTGCCTGTTCAAGACGCCTTCGCTGACTTTGAGCAGGTGTTTCAGTAGCTCTTAAAGTAGATTGACGCTCTGCCTGTTCAAGACGCCTTCGCTGACTTTGAGCAGGTGTTTCAGTAGCTCTTAAAGTAGATTGACGCTCTGCCTGTTCAAGACGCCTTCGCTGACTTTGAGCAGGTGTTTCAGTAGCTCTTAAAGTAGATTGACGCTCTGCCTGTTCAAGGCGCCTTCGCTGACTTTGAGCAGGTGTTTCAGTAGCTCTTAAAGTAGATTGACGCTCTGCCTGTTCAAGACGCCTTCGCTGACTTTGAGCAGGTGTTTCAGTAGCTCTTAAAGTAGATTGACGCTCTGCCTGTTCAAGACGCCTTCGCTGACTTTGAGCAGGTGTTTAAGAAGCTCTTAAAGTAGATTGACGCTCTGCTTGTTCAAGACGCCTTTGCTGACTTTGAGAAGGTGTTTCGGTTGCTCTTAAAGTAGATTGACGCTCTGACTGTTCAAGACGCCTTCGCTGACTTTGAGAAGGTGTTTCAGAAGCTCTTAAAGTAGCTTGACGCTCTGCCTGTTCAAGACGCCTTTCCTGACTTTGAGAAGGTGTTTCGGAAGCCTTAAATTAGCTTGACGCTCTGCCTGTTCAAGACGCCTTCGCTGGCTTTGAGAAGGTGTTTCAGAAGTTCTTAAAGCAGCCTGACGCTTTGTCTGTTCAAGACGCCTTTACTGACGTTGAGAAGGTGTCTCTGCTTGTTCTTGCCTTCTCAGTTCAGCATCTTCTAAAGATTCTAGCGATCGAGCTAATCTTTTCGCTTGTCTTTGAGAAGATACTCTTGAAAGGCTGGACTTACGTTTGCGAGGCATTATGAAGTAACGAAAAACCTATTTATAAAAAAACGTTAAAATACCTAAAAGGGTTTAAATTTCCTTTTAAATATTTTTTTAAAGCAAATCCAAAATATCTAAAAGGAATAAATATTCCTTTTAAATATTTTTTAAAATCAAAACAACAAAACCAATTCAAGACACAACACGAATCCGAAAACGATAGCCAAAAAAAATCGAATCAACTTAAACCAAATCACAAAACAAATCGCAGAAAACCGAAATCGAAAGCAGTAGTCAATATAAATATAACCAACGAAAAAAGAAGTAAGTGTATAGGTACCGTGTACACTATCTATACTATTAATATTCCTTTGAAATATTTTTAAAGAACCTAGAACAACGAAAACCAATTCACGATTATAAATAAACAAAATCCAAAATCAAAGCCAGAGTCTAAATATGTATAAAGGAATACCAACACATCAACAAAACCGATCCAAGAAAATACACAAATCCGACAATGAAAGCCAATATAAATCCATTCAACCTTAACCAAATCACAAAGCAAACAACAAACAACCGAAATCGAAAGCAGGTAGTCGAATAAGCTACGAAATAGAAACAATTTAAGCGTATAGGTACCGTATGCACTATAAGTTGACGCGCGGCTCAACGGCGGGAGTTAAGTACATGTCAGGAAACATTTCGTTACCGCGTTTTAAAAATCTAGTACCACATCTAGGGGAATCAATTTAAACTATGTATACGTTAGTTTTAATAAGAACTCTCAAAAAATATTTTTTTTTATAATTTTGCACAATTTTTCTTATTGTAATACTGATTCATTCATAACCACATATAAAAACTGTATTCATTTCCGTTCAATAAATATTACTAAGGCTTATTAATAAGGCTTACTAAGAACTGTTTCTACCAAAGTTAAGTAATAGTTAAGGGTGAAAGCGTGACAGGTGATGATAGTATTTCTGATCCATATTTATAATCACGCTTGTAACCCTTGCGGGGTAGGCAGAGCATCAACAGATTACTTAATATCGTCTGCGAGGTTATCGCCTATTCTGTGAATTACAATTCACCAAAACGTTTGAAGAAAATCAGCTGGTGAATTTTATGTTTTTTATCGCTCTCTTCCCGGTCCTGCGTTTAAAAATACAGATCCATACATTTTTATCTTAATTTTGGTAAAAAGACATAATAATCCAGATATTCTGACCTTCTGTGTTCGTCCATCATACCGTCGTCCGTCTTGTAGATCACGGTGGCGCCACCTAGCTGAATTTAATTTTGCAACATATTCGATTTTCCCACGGGAATGATATGTTTTTTCGCTGAAAAAAGTAGTCTATGTCACTCTACAGCCACCGAACTATCCCCATACCAAAATTCATGCCACGCCGACGCTCTGTTGCGACGTGAAAGAAGGACAAACTTTTACAACATATTCTATTTTCCCACGGGAATGAAATGTTTTTCCGCGGAAAAAAGTAGCCTATGTCACTCTACAGCCACCGAACTATCCCCATACCAAAATTCATGCCATGCCGACGCTCTGTTGCGACGTGAAAGAAGGACAAACTTTTGCAACATATTCTATTTTCCCACGGGAATGAGATGTTTTTCCGCGGAAAAAAGTAGCCTATGTCACTCTACAGCCACCGAACTATCCCCATACAAAAATTCATGCCATGCCGACGCTATTGTTGCGACGTGAAAGAAGGACAAACTTTTGCAACATATTCTATTTTCCCACGGGAATGAGATGTTTTTCCGCGGAAAAAAGTAGCCTATGTCACTCTACAGCCACCGAACTATCCCCATACCAAAATTCATGCCATGCCGACGCTCTGTTGCGACGTGAAAGAAGGACAAACTTTTGCAACATATTCTATTTTCCCACGGGAATGAGATATTTTTCCGCGGAAAAAAGTAGCCTATGTCACTCTACAGCCACCGAACTATCCCCATACCAAAATTCATGCCATGCCGACGCTCTGTTGCGACGTCAAAGAAGGACAAACAAACAAACACACTTTCGCATTTATAATATTAGTATGGATTTGAAACAGATTCCAACAGCAAAGCCTTGTCAGCAATACGATTAAAACCCTGTTATAAAAAATTCGCCTTTTGCAACTGAGGCACGCGTGGGCCGGCCGTAGCGTCAGCAAACTAACGTCATAGCTCGAGAAACGGCACACGTTTTATTTGACGTGGTTTTTGTTTGCTTGTGTTTATTATTATTTTATTCATCATCTTTGTGATTTATATCACTGTGTTGACAAAAACTAATCGAAATATGGGTAAAATTTTGAATAAATAAAAATTATGAATGAAAAGTTGACTAAGAAATGTATAAAATCTTATCAAACGGAAATGCTGAATGGGGGCTTGAAGACATAAAATAATTCCAAACATAAACATTGTTAAGATAATAATTAGAATCAGTTATTTTCTTGTTTATTGTACATTACATATTTTAACTATATTAATATTGTTATATATAATTTGTATATTAAACAAAAATAAAAATTAAAAATACAATATTTACAATTAATATTAATTATTTATATTGTTATATTATTTTTCTTGTGGCAATCCATTATGTTAAAGATTTTAAAATTAATTAGCTAAAATCCGCGTAAAAAATGCGCTTTTTGTACACGTAGCTTTGTAATTTTAGCATTTTTTTTGTTTCTTAATTTAAACATCATTATTTATATTTAACATTTTTTGTGTAATCTCTTAAACCCTAGGAATAAATTTGATAGATATTACAAATAAACAACAATATTGAGCTTCTTTGCTAATCTTACTTTGGTCAAGAAATATAATTTTCAATTAACTTTAACAAGGCTATGGAGCTTTGTTAAAAGCACAGCATCAGATTGCGCGATTAGAATTATAAAAAAAGTTAAGTGAGAAAAATTCACCTGTTTAATCTTCCAAAGCGCGGCAGCAACAAGCAGCAGCAGCAGGAAGCAGGAAGAAAACGTGATAAAGAACTGCTGCAGATTCAACTTGGGGTACTGCGAGAACGAGATCTGTATCCACAATGGCGGTCGGAAGTCGTACACGTAGACGAAGAAGGTCGTTAGCGTGACGTTGTCTTCTACGCCGAACGCATGCTCTGATTTGGCGAATCTGTAGTGGAACGGCCTTACTTAATTATTATAGAGTGCTTCTAACAACTTAATACAAGAAATTATTTTTATTTTATTTATTTAACTTCATATACACATTAGAAGTATATAGGCGGACTTAATGCTTGAGGCATTATCTACCAGTCTACCTTAGAGTAGTGCAGAGATAAAAGAGGTAGGTGTAATAAGAAATATGTACAATATATATAAACTCATATATATGTAAGCGTATAAATATATACATATATAAACATAATGTAAGTATATATACATAAAATTAAATATATATATATATATATATATATATATATATATATATATATATATATATATATAAAAAAAATATATAATATTAAACACGGCTAACTACGAACGCTAAGTTGATTCTGCCATTTTATTGACGAGCAGTTCTCGCACTTTAGATTTGAACAAAATCCGGTTTTCGGCACTCCTGATTTCGGAAGGAAGAGCGTTCCAAAGAAGAACAGATTGAACAAAGAACGATGATTGTACAAAGTTAGTAATAAAAGAGGGGCACTGAAGCAACAGGTTATTACTAGAACGGAGAACTCTATCATGGTTGGAGCTAAGATATTGAAAATGAGGAGTTAAATAAGATGGAGGATTAGGAGGATTAGGGGAAATTATATAAAGAATAAATAGTATTAGTAACAGTAAAGAAATACATCACTATTGTTAGATGGTTAATTTATATTATTTCTAGTAAATCACGAAGAAATTATTACATTATAAGTTTTATTGAATTGATAAGAAACTTTTGTTATTAACATAAACTATTTGTTAGTTTAGGCCGGTTTACATTTTGAGAAGTGACAGGTGCGAGTGGCAAGTGCGTCTAACAAATGACAAGTGCTTAGTGCGTGTGAACAGGCAGATAAAAGTAATAAGTGTGAACGCACTAAGCACTTGTCATTTGTCATTTGCACTTGCCACTCGCACTTGTCTCTTCTCAAAATGTAAACCGAGCCTTAGTGTTGTTATAGAAGAAAAAGTAACTACGAATTTTATCAACTTTCTCGGATTTTTTTTAATTTCTAATAATTCTTGACCCCTTTTCAGTGACCATTTGTGCTGTAAAATGTCCGAAACAACGTAAAAATTAAACGCTATATAAAACCCGTGAAATTAGACGTATTCGTGTTATGGGTATGTGTAATATAAAAAAATTAAATTATTAGATTCAATATAATATTTTATTAACATTACCTAATCTTACCTTTATGCTTAAATTCTAATAATCTAAAAAAAGAGATATAGAACATAATATTTCTACGCCAATGCGCGTAAGACATGTTAACAGTGTTAAAATTGTATGTAATCAATGATATTATACAACAATTACTAATTATACCATGTCTCAAAAAAAAAAAAAAACACTATAGCAAAAGTTGCTGTGTGTCCGTCTATATAACAACTTGTAGTGGTTGACGGTGCGTAAGCAGATGGCGTACTTGCAGCGCACAGTCTTGCCTATAGATGCACTTGTAGCAGATGTACGAGTAGGTTTACATGAATTAAGAGACATAAGTAAGCACAGACTCCCTTTAGCGAAAGTTGACACATGCGTGCATGACACATTTGTACCGAGAACTATTATTTTGTACATGATTTACTTGTAATGAAGGCCTTACGAAATTGAAGCGAGAGACAGTTTGTGTGGTAATTTAAAAAATGACTTTCAATAAGTATTATATAATAATCTACACTGAATAGAAAAATAATTCTATTCTAATATTTTTGTGCAAAGGAGTCTATCAAAATGGTGCGTGGAGTTTTGGCGGGAACTTAACGCCGGCGGGTTCTACTTTTATTGTTTAAATTATGGCTTGAAGTGAATTTTCATATGAAAAAAGGTGCGATTTTGTGTATTAAGAGGATACCTTGAAAATGAATCTTAGTTTTGGGGGCGTGTCATTATCAAAGTGATGTGACTTCATAATACGCAAATTATGAGATAGCTATACCTAGCACACGCTCGGAAAAAACTACGTAAGTGCCAAACAACATTTTTTTTAACAAAACTTCGTTATGGATTAAAAAAATGGTTTATGAAAACTTAGATATGATTATTTACTATGCCTTAAAAATAATTCTATGAACTTATAAAAATATTGTGGTGTCATGGAGAAATGTTAGTTACATTTCTCATTAGATTCTACTTAGCAATTTTTTTCTATCGACAAAATTACATGAAATCATATAGTCAAAAATCATATACTAAAATTTTGTTTTGTAATCTATAAAACTTAAAGAAATATGTCAAATAGAAAAACCATCAAATTTTCGAGGTATCATCTTAAATGTATCTTCTCAACAGTATATTTCTAAATGGAGTCATTTCTTATACGTTGCAACAATAGCGGCTTGTATTTACTGCCCGGGAGAAATAATTTACTTAATTTCGTGTTTTCTTCAAATATATAGGTATAAAAATAAAATTAACATGTTTTCCTCATCAAAATTTATATATTGGTATAACATTAGTGCGAAAAGGGAACTATAATAGTAATTAAACCATTTTAAAAAAAATGGCGGAAAATGGCGAAAGTTGAATCGCCACAATGGATGACAGTTCTGACAATAGTTATTTGACACATAAACGGGATGAATGTTTTGACTGTTGAGGGGATATGTGAACTGTCAGTGAAATGATGAAATGAGTTGCTCCGATGGTGACGTGAACCTTAAGATATGTATCTGCTTAGAAGTCATGAGATACCTACTGTCGTCAGTCTGCTGGTTCAAACTGCCCTCAAAATCTCCCAAGAACTTCGCAATGTGACGCATTCATATGTGAAGAATAGCGTAGTATTTAATATGTGAAGAAGTTTATTGAACACTGGCAAAAGTACAACAGTACGAGTCCATTTCCAAAGAAAGAAAAAAGCTAGTGCGTGAGTACAGGACTTACTTATAGCGAAAGTTGGTGCAGTTTACGTCGCTAAAGAGCGTTCTCTCTGTAGGATCGCTTCGTGTTCGCACAGTGAGATTCATTCGAGCGTGCGCAGAACACGTTATGCTGAAATCCGCATCCACATCCGGTTTCACTGGCGCGTTCCGGAAGTTGATTGCTGATAAATGCCGGTCTTCCTTCTTCGACAAGTTGAAGGTGAACTGGTAGTCAACGGCTAGATCGTCTGCAAAAATGTTGAATTTTTCTTATTACCTGAATATTTATGTGAAAAGGAAAAGCAAATACGCTCTGAACTGCAGCCATGAACATCATCAGCCTGCGGCAGTACATTGCGGGATGAGGCGTCACTTAACCCGGTGTTCGGCTACACGCATACAGTTCCTACGAACCACCTTGCGCAGATCGTCGCTCCATCTGGACCGGGGATAAGTGATAATCGACATCTATCGCAATAAATTAAAAGAAATGCTTTCTGGATGTCTGATATCACTATCATTATATACATAGGCCTTCCTTCAGATTGCTACAAAGTACGGCCCTGAGTCACCTGCACCCATCCACTACTTGCGTGTTTTATCAGGTCGTCACTTCATTTAGTAAGACATCGCCTAACACTGCGCTTTCCACAACGATGAACAGACAATGAGAGAAGATCCTCGAGTCTATACTCGAGAACCTTCATTTCTATCGTTTGTCGGTTCTTCAAGCTATATGAACGGCCCATTGCCACTTCATATTTGTGTTTTACATACAAATATTTAATATTCAAAATATAAAATAAACACTTTTTTGTGCACTTCACATTCAGCTATCGAAAATGAAATTTAGCTTGCATACTATAAAAACTTAATTTCATTTATTACTTGCTGAATTTCGACCTTTAGGTTGCCCACTAGTGGTAATAAAAATAGACGTGTGGTGTCCGCCTAAAGGAATCCACAACGCCATATCATATCGTAGGTATCGTAAGAGCAACATATGAAAATAAAACAGAAAATGAACAGGAGTATTTTTCTGACAGCACCCAAAAAAAAACCGAGGATGTTAACCTGCTTGCCAAGCGTAACAATTTTTATTTATTTTCAAAACTTAAGGTGTACTGGCGGCAGGAATAAGTCAAATAACTTTCCTTTTACTTCGTCAGTAGAAGACCTAAAGAATTTAGCAATACTATAGGAACAATTTAAATCGTACAGTTGAGTGCCAAATGTACTTACGATATCAACAGCGGAAGCTGTGTAGAGGCTGGCAACACTTGTTAAATAGAATAAGGGTGACAAACGAGCATACAGTCTACCTGGTAATAAGTGGATGTTGTGGCACATCATCATCATCATTACAGCCCTTCACAAGTCTACTGCTGAACATAGGCATCCCCCAAGTAACGCCACAAAGCACGGTCCTGAGCCCCTCATCGACTTCCTACATGTCTCACCGGGTCGTCACTCCATCTAGTGGGCGTCGCCCTACACTACGCCTACCGGTACGAGGCTGCCACTCGAGAACCTTTCTTCCCCATCGGTTATCGGTTCTTCGAGCTATATGGCCGGCCCATTGCCACTTCAGCTTACTAATCCGTTGGGCTACGTCTGTGGCACATACATATCTATATCCATCTCCGATTAAGGATCAAAATTCAAGTGCGTTATCACCATTGACGAATAAGATGAAATGCCTCGTTTCCAGTTTATAGGTTCTCCGGTTTTCTATACTCACCATACGAAACAGCAGCATTTAGTTGCTATTTCATGTTGGTATTTTATAGACATGTGTCAATCACGCATGATTCGTTCGTTTGAGCTGATACACTTAAAAGTATTAATGTTCATTCATTTGTTTTTGAATGTACCGGAACAACCAATCACAAACAATTGACGGTACCTTTTTAACTCGTGATTGGTGTGAATTGTGAATGAGCCGAAAATCGACCGAATTCCGAATGATCTGAATAAACAGGCGAATCGAATAAACAATGCAGACGGCAGAGTATCAGGAGTATTCATTATTTAAGTATTTTTTATTTTAATATTGTTACCTAAATTAAAAATTATTTTACATTTTATCATATTTATTTGTTACATCTATGAATTAAAAATATAACTTCGTAGGGTTTAAAAATAACACTTCCAAAGATTTTTTTAATATGATAATTTTCAACCCCCTTATATAAGTATAAAATAAAAGTTTAATTTTGTAGCAAATAAATGTTACTATCCTTATTTTTCGACATGTAAAAGTAAGATGAAAGTTTGTATTGTTAGGAATGAAATTTAAGAATAAACCAAATTTATTAAATATTTAAAATATTGATAGAAATTAATATATTGAATAAAGTTATCAATCAAAATCAAATCAAATCAATTAATCACTTGTGGTTTTTTGTTTATGCCATCTAGCGTCGATAGTACTTACCACCTTGAAAATCAATAAGTTTTAGTTCGACAAAATTACTTTATTACCTATAGCATGTAGTAGATGGCGCTATTACAAATCTTAAATAGAAAATTTTCGGTTCCCAATGGATCTCACAGGCTCACGGAGTACTGGAGCCCGAAATGATCCATTTGAATGATCGGTCCGAATGTACCGGTACACGTGACGAAATCTACTAGAATGATTCGGTCACTGGAAATCAATGATTGACACATGTCTAGTATTTTGCCCGGTCGTAAGTAGTAATTAAAAGCGTAGTCAGTTTTAGTTGTCCGCGAATGTGAGGGAGGCGCGATGAGGAGGGGGAGGACTCACAGTAGCAGGCGCCCTTGTTGTAGAGGTCCAGGTGATAGTGGTTGGTGTTGTCGCAGTGGCCACCCGCCAGCCGCTTGGTGCTGCAGTGGCAGCGACCCGTTGTAGTTGTCCGCGAGTGTGGGGGAGGACTCACAGTAGTAGGCGCCCTTGTTGTAGAGGTCCAGGTGATAGTGGTTGGTGTTGTCACAGTGGCCACCCGCCAGCCCCTTGATGCCGCAGTGGCAGCGACCCGTTGTAGTTGTCCGCGAGTGTGGGGGAGGACTCACGGTAGCAGGCGCCCTTGTTGTAGAGGTGCAGGTGATAGTGGTTGGTGTTGCCGCAGTGGCCACCCGCCAGCCCCTTGGTGCCGCGGTGGCAGCGGCCCGTTGTAGTTGTCCGCGAGTGTGGGTGAGGACTCACAGTAGCAGGCGCCCTTGTTGTAGAGGTCCAGGTGATAGTGGTTGGTGTTGTCACAGTGGCCACCGGCCAGCCCCTTGATGCTGCAGTGGCAGCGACCCGTTGTAGTTGTCCGCGAGTGTGGGGCAGGACTGACAGTAGCAGGCGCCCTTGTTGTAGAGGTCCAGGTGATAGTGGTTGGTGTTGTCGCAGTGGCCACCCGCCAGCCCCTTGATGCTGCAATGGCAGCGACCCGTTGTAGTTGTCCGCGAGTGTGGGGGAGAACTCACAGTAGCAGGCGCCCTTGTTGTAGAGGTCCAGGTGATAGTGGTTGGTGTTGTCGCAGTGGCCACCCGCCACCCCTTGATGCTGCAATGGCAGCGACCCGTTGTAGTTGTCCACGAGTGTGGGGGAGGACTCACAGTAGCAGGCGCCCTTGTTGTAGAGGTCCAGGTGATAGTGGTTGGTGTTGTCGCAGTGGCCACCCGCCAGCCCCTTGATGCTGCAGTGGCAGCGACCCGTTGTAGTTGTCCGCGAGTGTGTGGGAGGACTCACAGTAGCAGGCGCCCTTATTGTAGAGGTCCAGGTGATAGTGGTTGGTGTTGTCACAGTGGCCACCCGCCAGCCCCTTGATGCTGCAGTGGCAGCGACCCGTTGTAGTTGTCCGCGAGTGTGGGGGAGGACTCACAGTAGCAGGCACCCTTGTTGTAGAGGTCCAGGTGATAGTGGTTGGTGTTGTCACAGTGGCCACCCGCCAGCCCCTTGATGCTGCAGTGACAGCGACCCGTTGTAGTTGTCCGCGAGTGTGGGGCAGGACTCACAGTAGCAGGCGCCCTTGTTGTAGAGGTCCAGGTGATAGTGGTTGGTGTTGCCGCAGTGGCCACCCGCCAGCCCCTTGGTGCTGCAGTGGCAGCGACCTGTTGTAGTTGTTCGCGAGTGTGGGGGAGAACTCACAGTAGCATGCGCCCTTGTTGTAGAGGTCCAGGTGATAGTGGTCGGTGTTGTCGCAGTGGCCACCCGCCAGCCCCTTGATGCTGCAATGGCAACGACCCGTTGTAGTTGGCCGCGAGTGTGGGGCAGGACTCACAGTAGCAGGCGCCCTTGTTGTAGAGGTCCAGGTGATAGTTGTTGGTGTTGTCGCAGTGGCCACTCGCCAGCCCCTTGATGCTGCAGTGGCAGCGACTCGTTGTAGTTGTCCGCGAGTGTGGGGCAGGACTCACAGTAGCAGGCGCCCTTATTGTAGAGTTCCGCGTGATAGTGGTTGCTGTTGTCGCAGTGGCCGCCCGCCAGCCCCTTGGTGCTGCAGTGGCAGCTGCCCCGTTGTTGTTGTCCGCGAGTGTGGGGGAGGCGCGGTGAGGAGGGGGGAGGACTCACAGTAACAGGCGCCCTTGTTGTAGAGGTCCGCGTGGTAGTGGTTGGTGTTGTCGCACTTGTCGCAGCGGTCGCCCGCCAGCCCCTTGGTGCTGCAGTGGCAGCGGCCCGTGTCCGCCGCGCACGACACCGCCTGCGCGTTGCACTCGCACGCTGCACACACACCATATACATGCGAACACATGCCACATTCGATGCAAATATTAAGGGCTGATCCTCATTTGCCGCTCACAGTTCGTACTCGGTCCGAACTCGGTCGGATTTATTACAATATTAGAATGGAATTTGAGCAAAACTTAACTGTTACGAATAGTATGAATGCACATTCATATTTTTTACTTGATAATATTTTATCAGACCGAGATCGGACCAATAACGAACTGTGAACGAAATTATAATAAGGAGCGGCCCTGACCGTTCTACTTGCGGCTCCACATGTGTCCCTTTGTCTACCAGAATAAATATGCGGCTGTAGTGTGGAGCTGCAGTATTTAGATACACAGTTGAGACGGAACTGCTACGTGCACAACGTAAGAACGCTTACATTGAGCGTTATGCTGAGGAACTTCGTGTGAGGAAAAAATTATGTATGATCTTTGTACGATACCGATGTCCAAACGGCAACGTGAGTAAGAATCAGAAGGAAGACATCAAGAGTTGTTTAGATTTTCCCGGAAGAAATTTATTAGAGCCTGAATATAGAACCTAGCAATTGCCGCTGGGTCATGGTGCTTTATAAAGTGGTTACATAATATAACTTTTGCGTTGCACCAAAACTCATATTTTGTAGACTATGTTAGATGGTATCCTTTATCCTTACTGCGGTCTCCTTCCTGGCACGGGCACACCAATAGAAGACCAGATAAGTAACGTTATTTTGGGCGACCAATAAGACGCACTGGTCGAAAGTGAAAGGTCGAAACACTCCTCCGGCCGGCCTGTTGTTGTCGACGTGTCGCCGCCGCGCCATCATAGTTGAACACTAACGCTAGTTGTGATTGCACCTCTGTGGCAGTCGCGCCACAGAAGAACCGCTAACAGTAACCGCTCCGCATAGTGCAAGTTATCGTCGCACATCACCGCAGCTGCAACGTAGCGCCATCAACCTAAGGCCTAAGTAAAGGCTGCCAGAAGACCAACGCCCAAGTAAGTGCCTTATTTCTTTTCCTAGCGTGAGCTGTTCTCATTTGTGCCATTCCTTGCCTACAACAGCTCACGCTCATACCTTTGCTGGTTAATATAGTAGATTAGGCCCTAGCAAGTGCATTATCCAAAAGCCGGCCACGTGCCACTTCCGTCATCTTGCATTGGTTATAGAGAACCACGCATACAGTCCACATATAGGAAATCTCGCATAATAAATTTTGGCCAGACCCGGGAATCGAACTCGAGACCCTATCGCCGCAGCATTTTCTGGTCATTAGCGCGACCATTATCTGCCGCCGGATTCTAACCGGATTAGAATCGGGGCAATTGGCTCCACCATTTTCTGTTCCTTCACCCCGGATTTTAAATTGGCTCATCCAGGCTTGATAGGAGAATATCTGTTTAACTGATAGGAGATTATGCACATTTGTAGTGTAGTTGCAGTTTTAAAATGAAACTTATAAGCCAAAACCCTCGTGGAAATGAAAGGAGCAGAAACTGACACAAAAACCTAGCTTAAAACACCTCGTGTAAAAGCGGTCGAGATTATCTTCAGGCAAATATTCTAAGCTAGTTTCGAACAAGCTCTTCTCATAAGTCGCTATGATGACATAAAAAGCTATATAAGAAAGAAAAAAAGGAAGCAGAGCCTGTTTATTACGGTCGTTGCTTCTGAGGTAAACCTCAGATGTTTGAGGGATTTTACGCGGAGATGATAAAAATTACCTAAATTCGGATACAAGGGCAAAATTAAAAGTTTTTAGAACCAGACACTTGTAAACGATATAATAAAAAAAATCAGTTCAAATTTTGAAAATGGAACTCTGCCAATATTATTGTGTACGTATTTTATTAGTTTGTCATTTGTTCACGATTTGGCGGCAAATTGAACATTGTCTGTATTGCCCCATTTACATTCAGCCCCGTTGGGCAGGAAAGTGAGCAGGGCAGTGAGCAGGGCAGTATGTAAACAGGCTACTCGCGCTGACACTGCCGCTGCCGCTGCCGCTGCCACTGCCCGACGCTCCCTCAAATGTCGGTTTTTCGAGCGGAAGTCAAAGGACGGGCAGCGCGAGCGGCAGTGAGTGTTCACAATCAGCTCCATCGCTCACTTCGCGCCAAGCGCCTGGATGAACGGACGTGCGTGCCGTCTTGTTATTAAATAAGTACGATCTACCAAAATGCCTTTCGAGTGGAATAATGAAAATACAATAAAGTTTTTAGAACTGCTGGAATCAGAAAAAACTATGTGGGATTTCAACGATAAAAACCACAATTTTTTTTTTTATAGAAGAGTGGCTCACCTGATGTTAAGTGACTACCGCCGCCCATGATCAACCGCAACACCAGGGGAATTGCAGGTGCGTTGCCGGCCCTTTAGAAAGGAGTAAGCTCTTTTCTTGAAGGTCCCCAGGTCGTATCGGTCCGGAAAAATCACCGGTGGTAAATTATTCCACAGAGAGGTTGTACGCGGAAGAAAACTCCTTTTGAAACGTACAGTGGTGGACCGCCAAGCATCCAGATGGTGTGGATGGTATCGGGACGTTTGCCGTGTATTGCGTTCACGAAATTTGGCGGCTGGGATTAATCCGAACAATTCCTCAGAGCACTCCCCGTGATAGATGCGATAAAATACGCAAAGAGATGCAACATCTCTTCGCAGCGCCAGTGAATCGAGCCGATCGGAAAGCACTCGGTCGTCGACGATTCGAGCCGCTCTGCGCTGGATGCGGTCAAGTGGAAGGAGCTGGTACTGGGGAGCCCCAGCCCAGAGATGGGAACAGTATTCCATGAGCGGCCGAACCTGCGCCTTGTAAAGTTGCAGGCGGTGTGCCGGCATGAAATACTGTCCCGCTCTGCTGAGCACGCCAAGCTTTTTAGAGGCCAATTTGGCCTTCCCTTCCAAGTGACCACGAAACTGCACGTCACTCGATATGTCGACGCCGAGGATTCCGATACTGGCTGAGGCAACAAGGGGAGTGCCTTGAAACTGAGGGGATACGACAAAGGGGTTCTTTTTAGCGGTTAACGCGCAAACTTGTGTCTTCTGGGGGTTAAACTGGACTAGATTTAGTCGCCCCCAATCTGAGACTCTGTCCAGCAGAGACTCGACTTCAGACACAAGTTTGTCCCGGCACTCAGAGACGTTTTCCCGAGAAATATTGGCTCGGCCGGTGTAAAGAGCATCACCAGTGCTGTCATCTGCATAGCAATGAATGCTACGGGTTTGCAACATATCATTGATATGCAGAAGAAACAGCGTTGGCGATAGCACGCAGCCCTGTGGAACACCAGCATTAATAAGCTTGCAATCGGAGCTTGCACCGTCTACAACGACCTTGATGCTCCGATCTGCAAGAAAACTGGTGATCCAATCGCACAATTTCTCGGGAAGCCCATAGGAAGGGAGCTTCGAAAGAAGCGCTTTGTGCCAAACCCGATCGAAGGCCATCGCAATGTCCAAACTAACGGCCAATGCCTCCCCCTTGGACTCTACTGCCTCCGCCCATCTGTGAGTTAGGTAGACCAGAAGATCACCAGCTGACCTACCACGGCGAAAACCGTATTGGCGGTCACTAATCAGCTGGTGATCCTCAAGGTACCTCATGAGCTGGCAGTTTACAATGGACTCCATTGTTTTGGAGAACAAGGAGGTGATGGCGATAGGCCGGTAGTTGGACGGGTCTGAGCGGTCGCCTTTTTTTAGGGATCGGGTGGACGAAAGCCGTCTTCCATGATTTTGGGACTACGCCTAGGGAGTAGGAGTACCGGAAAAGACGCGTTAAAACCGGTGCCAACTCTGGAGCACACGTCCTCAGCACAATTGGGGGGATTCCATCAGGCCCACTCGACTTATAGATGTCCAGGGAGAGGAGTGCTTTGCGAACCGAGCGCTGAGTGAACTGCACTTCCGGCATGGAGCACTCACACCGCGGGATGGTCGGCGGCGTACTCCCCCCGTCATCGAGAGTCGAGTTAGACGCAAAGAAAGAGCCTAGAAGATCGGCTTTCTCCTTTGCGGTGTGGGCCAGTGAGTCGTCCCCCCTGTACAGAGATGGAAGAGATGGCTGACAGAAATTCCCCTGGACAGCCTTGGCGAGAGACCAGAATGCACGGGTTCCAGAAGGAAGACGAACTAGTCTCTCGCCAATTCTGCCTATGTGCTCTGACTTTGCCTTGGCAATAAACTTTTGAAGGACCTAGAGGCGGAATTATACTTCTTTTTTAGAGCGCTGGAGTTTACATCCCTGGACGCTGATGCGTCAGCCCAGGCTCGGTAGCACTCCTGCTTATAGCATGATGCTATTTTACAGGAGCGACCAAACCATGGCTGAGATTTGCCTCCAATGGGCACTACAGAGGAAAGAATAAAAAGTTCCATACCCTGAAGTACCACATCAGCGACAGAATCCGCAACAACGTTGGGATCATCCGGCGAGAAGCAAACCCGCCCCCAAGGGTAGGATGCACAGAAAGACCGCATCCCATCCCAATCGGCTGACCTATAGTGCCAAACACGGCGGCAGCCTGCAGAATGCAACCGCGATTTCAGCGTGAGTGGCACCACACTCCGGACAAGACAATGGTCCGAGGAGCCTAAAGGGGCGTCGACGGAAATCTGATATCCGTCCGGGTGAGAGGTCAGCAGAAGGTCCAACAGGGAAGGTGCATGATCTTCCACATCTGGAATCCGCGTAGGCGAAGTAACCAGTTGTGTCAGACCATATGCCAAGGCAAAATCATGAACAGATCTCCCCGCATGATCGGGTAAACGTAAACTGATCCATTCGGCGTGGTGGGCGTTAAAGTCGCCGAGGATCACGATCTCTGCGGAGAGGATCTGCTGTAGCAACGAATCTGCAGCCATTTGGACGTGGTCGAAGAGTCGGTCTGTTTCGGCATTACCGCTATGGGACCTATAGAGGCACCCGTAGACGCGCGGATGGTCGTCGCTGTCTACGCGTAGCCAAAGGATGGACAGGTCCGAACCTTCAAGTCTGCCGAGGCGTCGAGAACAGATGTCCTCTCTGACGTAAACGCAAACTCCAGCCCGAGGCACAAAGGAGTGTTCCAGTTTGTACCCCGGGCAGGAGAGATACGAGACATCAGCCGGAGAGGACACCTGCATCTCGGTCAGAAAGAGCAGAGCCGGCCTCGCCGTCTCGAGATGGTAGTGGACGGCGTTTAGGTTAGAGTGAAGTCCCCTGATATTGCAGAAATTCACGGACAGCGTGGCAGGGGTCGCCTTGGTCTTGTTGCTCCGTTTGCCCCGAGCAGTTTTAGTCTTGAGCGGAATATTGCCCCCCCCAGAATACGCGGGGCAGCCTGAGCACCCACGCTCAGAAGTGGAGAAACATGGTCGTGGATGCTCAGCGAGGGATTCTCCAGGGGTGCTGGTACCCTCCTGGGGTAGTCTATCATTTAATTCCGCTACCATGTTGATGGGGGGGGGGGGATTTGGGCCTCCGGCCACCTGCACTCACCAGACGAAACGCGGAAGCACAGCTTCCACTTCACGCCGGTATTCTGTAAGGTCGTGGTACCACCCCGGTTTGAGCCGGCCCATACGTGCGACAGCAAAGCTGCCGCGTGGCTCTACCACTGTTCATCATCTTCTACGAATACGAATTTTCTTTTTGAGATAACATAGTACCTATGTACATAATTAACTATAAATTCGTCAAATTTATTATATTAATATAAAATTTAGTTTAAGGAATTAATGAACATTGACATTTTAGTTCTAAAAACGATTAGTAACTCATATTGATTATTTATTTATTAAAATGTAAAATAAGTTAAATGGTAATAAAAAAAATATTTGCATAATAGCCTGAGATTTTTAAATTATAATTTTATTGTAATTAAAATTATGAATTAATTTATACTGTAGTGTAATTATTAAAATAATAATAGCTTAACTAATCTCATATAATATTTAATATTATTTATGTAACAATAATGTAATAATTCAATTAATAATTTATGAACAATTTATTGTATAAGAATTCAAATAGAGTGGATCTGTATAAGTATTTAATTAATACATAATATTTTAATTCAAAAAGAATGTTTGTACCTAACTTTTAAGCAATGCAATAATTTTAAAATATAACATTGGGTTTGTGTAATTAGCTGTATTTCATATCATTGCATGCAATTATGGTAAAACATGTCAGATCTACGTCATTGATCATCTTATGTACCATGTTTTTAAGCTAATAAATTTTCTTCTATCTATCTATCTATCTTCTTTTGAACTTGATATCTTTTTAATTTATTAACATAATTTTGTATTATTTCGACGTCTGCCATAGCCGAAAGCCGAAAGTGATGTGAGTGGTAGGGCAGAGTGTGAATACACACTTCCCGCGATCCTGCTATGTATTTAGAGAAGTATTGCCGGCAGCGCGAGGAGCAGTGGCAGGGGCTGAATGTAAATAAGGCTTAACACGTGAACATGAATTTAAGCGAGAAAATTTTCGTACAATGATTTTTTTATTACTTTCGATGTCATTCGTGCTCCCACTCGTGCCACTGTTTTATAACTAATTTAATGAGTTTAAACGTGGTCGCACTAATCTCACCGATGATCAGCGTGAGCGACGACCTCCTATGCCGACGACTGAAGATAACATCAGTGTTGTGCAGCGTATGATAGGGACTGACAAAAGAGTGACTTAACAGCAGATTCAAGCTTAGGCATCGGTATGAACATTTAGCGGTCAGGAAGCTTTGTGCCCGGTGTATATCTCATAATTTGACAGAGGCCCAAAAACTCCGTCGTGTTGATTGGTGACGTGAGAGGGTTCAAAGATTTAACGGAGGTGACTCAAATGCGGTGTTCGACATACGTACGGGTGACGAAAGCTGGATTTATTGTTATGATCCTGAATCTAAGTGACAGTCTGCTGTCTTTCCTTTCGAGGAGTTGCCAACTAAAGTGAAGACAGGTGGAAGCGTGAGAAAAAAGATGGTGGCCTCGTTCTTCGAAAAGACAGATCAATACGCAACAATTGTTTTAGAGGATCGAAAAACAGTTACTGCAGAGTGGTACACTAACAATTGTTTGTCACTTGACTTGGAAAAGGTTTGGTACAAACGACCTCGCAGTAGGATCCTCCTTCACCACGACAACGCCTCGTCGCACACCGCCAAGCAAACAATCGACTAATTGGCGATGTCAGATGTGGAATAACCGGGTCACCCGCCCTATAGCCCCGAACTCGCACCTTGCGATTTTTATTTATTTCCAAAAATAAAAGAAAAACTTCGAGGAAAACGTTTTATGTACGCCGAGGAAGCAGTGGCTGCTTTCCAAAATGCCGTCGCAGAGACCCCTAAGGACGAGTGGGCAAAGCGCTTTTCTCAGTGATGAAAAAAATCAATTCAAATTAATTGATGTAAATGGTGACTACACTATGTTGAAAATATATAATGCAACTAATAACTTGCTAGTTTGTTCAGGTTTTTGATTTTCTAAGAACTTTCAGTGTGACCCTCGTAATACCGGATCTGCGCTTTAGAGGGTAGAAGCTGAAGATGTATCTGTTATTTTCGGTCCCATTAAAGAAGAATTAGAGTCAAGAAAGAACGCGAAAAGAACATGATAAATAGCACAGAGCAAGTACAACATGCTTCCAAAATTTAGTTTCCACTCGGACTGAATTTTTACTTGTTAAATTACCGTTAAGTACCAAGTTAGAAGGTTGACTCACGTTGACACACTCCGCCATTGAGCGGGTTGCCCCAGTGCGCGGGCGCGCACGTGTCGCAGTGCTCGCCGACCGCGCGGCCGCTGCACGGCTGGATGCAGCGCGCGGACGCGTCGCACACGGCGTGTCCGTTGCACTGGCACAGCGGGCACCGCGTGAAGTGCCATCTGCGGACAAATTCGTCTTTAAACACGTTCATTACACTTAAAAAATCGTATATTCGGTTGCAAACTGTATATCAAATATTCTGCTAGCTTCCTGACAGAACATCCAGCAAAAGTATTTAGGCCATGAAGGTAGCGTTTAATCAGAGCGTCTTCTCTCTCAAGATAGAATTGTCTACGAAAAGAAAAAGAGCAAACAACTGAATGATTTTTTATATTTACGCGAACACTACACATTGATTAAAACTACTTTTAAGGATTTTATCGCGTTTAATTTAATTTTAATTTTAATTAATTTTAATTCCCAACGTTTCGGGTGCTTTCCAGCACCCATGGTCACGGGGGACTGAGGTGACTGACGTCCCGATGTCATTGTTAAACCCGGAGTACCTTCAGCTTTTTTAATTATTGTTTATGGTCCGATCCACGCAAAATGAACTATGTCCTGAGGTCTTGCAGTGGTATGCTTGGGTTTAGTTTTAATTTTATTGATTATAGGGTCTGAAGCAGGTGGTAGTACCCAGCCTCCTTTATTGAAATTAGGATGTTTTTTTAATTTCAATATTCTCACGTATCAACCTTAAATCCTTAGTAAACTACTGCCTGAAAATACAAAAAAAAATTATTACTGCACCACAATCTTTCACAATAAGTTTTAATTACGTTACTTCAAGTGCATTAAAAACGTAAGGGTGGCATTGTTACTGCACTATACTGCCCTCTACACTACACTATACCCTCACTCCCTGCACTGTCACTGTCACTATCGTACTTACCTGTGATTTTAACAAACATACAGATGACACTGTCACCACACTATACCTTTAGTCTCCATTCTCCCGCATTGCCACTGGCGTCTCAGCAGCGTTCTGACCTGTGGTGCGAGCCGACGTACGTACGACACATTGACCGCACTATACTCTCACTGTACGCGGCAGTATCGCACCGACCTGTGCTGAGAGCAGACGTGCGGCTGGTGCGGGCGGTGCTGGCCGACGGGCAGGCAGGCGCCGCGGCCACTGCCCTTGCCGTCGTCGCACCAACCGCACACGATCGCCCCACGGCACGCAGCGCAGCTAGCGTGCGCGCCGAAGCTGCAGCCGCCGCCACCCCCCCCCCCCCCGCCTCCCCGCAGCCGCCGCGCTACACCCGCACTGCACGCGGTAGTATCGCACCGACCTGTGCTGCGGGCAGACGTGCGGCTGGTGCGGGCGGCGCTGGCCGATGGGCAGGCAGGTGCCGAGGCCGCCGCCGTTGCCATCATTGCACCAGCCACACGCGGCCACCGAACGGCACGCTGCGCAGCCGGCGCGCGCATCGCAGCCGCCGCGCTACACCCGCACTGCACGCGGCAGTATCGCACCGACCTGTGCTGCGGACAGATGTGTGGCTGGTGCGGCCGGCGCTGGCCACCGGGCAGACAGGCACCGCGGCCGCCTCCTTCGCCGTCGTCGCACCAGCCGCACGCGGGCTCCGCGCGGCACGCAGCGCAACCGGCGTGCGCACTGCAGCCGCCCCCCACCGCACTCACGCCACCCCCGCACCCGCCGCGCCCGGTGCTCCACCCGCACACGCGCCCGTCGACCACGCGCGGCACCCGCCCAGCGGGAATGACGCACCATACGCATTCTGTGAACGTAACAACCAATAAGCCTGTTGCAAGCTGTAAGAAATATTTTGTCAGAAAATTTCTTAAGCAACCCAGACGAACATCCGCATACTATCAGAAATTTTGCTCCAGCAATTTTATTTATAACCAATATTCCACAGACATGAACGTTTATCCATCTTTATTATGCAATATTTTAATGATAATTCGATTATATTATAGTCAACCCCTGCCCCCACAGTTTTTCTAATGTATCTATCTTCCACAAATTCACAGGGCAAATTTCTGACGTTCGGTTGGCATGCATCCGGCAAGCGTTAGAAACGGACAGTCAGTCCTAAAAATTTCTTAGTCTGCGAAATCTAGTACAAAATGTAAACGAAAAATGCCTACAAGTGTGGGTAAAAATTTTTCGGACTATAAATTTCTCAAATGCAGCCGGCCCGTTTATGTAAACATTGAGTTACTAAAACGGACATACATCAACTTGTGATCAGCTAGGAATGCGCTTTTCCTCCTGTTCCCCAACGCCAACTTCCGCATGCACCTTTGTCGCCTCAATACACCCAACTCTTAGTACGTTCTCAGTACGCCCTGACTACAACCGAGCCAGGTCGCAAGTTAATTTCTGCACTTTAACTTTACTTCTGTACTTAAGTGTGTGCATTCTGTACTTAAGAATTATTACTGGCAGACCTACTTCCAATTATTCCGAGAACTTAAGAAGATAGAAAAAATAACAAATAAAAACGACCTTGTCAACGCAGCGGCCGGCTGATGCGCACCAGATGCACTCCTCCGCGGTGCAGTTGGCACACGTTGTGTACGTGGCGCACGGAGCACTGCAGCCGCCAGTAGACACGCTCCTGAATAAAACAAAAATTGGACTGGAATGTTGGACAATTAAATCAAAATCATGTTGCCACGAATATATTTCCACTTGTAGCACACCGCAATGTCGCATGATATTGCTCCAACATAATTCGGGCTTTATATTTTACGACAGTCAATTAAATGTTTATAACGTTTACTACCAAGGTATGCCACAAAGCACGGTCCTGAGCCACCTGTATCCATCGACTTCCTGACGTGACGACCTTGTAAGGCATGCCTTACAAGGTCGTCTCTCTATCTGGTGGGGGGGTCGTCCTACACTTCGCCTACCAGTACGAGGCTGCTACTAGAGAACCTTTTTCCCCCAATAGTTGTCGGTTCTTCGAGCTATGTCCAGCCCATTGCCACTTCAGCTTACTAATCTGTTGGGCCAAGTCGATCACTCTGGTTTTACTGCGGATATCCTCATTTCTAAGTTTATCACGCAGAGAAACCCCGAGCATAGCCCTCTCCATAGCTCGCAGAGCGACTTTGAGCGTTCCTCATACGGCCAGCAGTCTCAGGACCGTGCTTTGTGGCATACCTTGGGGGAGGCTTATGTTCAGCAGTGGACTTGTGAAGGGATGTAATGATGATGATGAACGTTTACTCGGGAACATTCCCGAAAATCCAAATTCTGATTTGTAAATATAATAGTACAAGCAAGACGCAACCTTATGTACATAGTCTATAGTATTTTCTTCTTCAAACCTATTGTTAAATCGTAATAAACTAACGACTTCTGCGAAGGAAAGACTAGCGATTTGGACAGCGTAAATCTACACTTGCCTTTAAGTGTGTAAAATACAGCTATTTTACATCATTTGAGCAACCCTAATGGCCACATATAATGACAACACAATATAATCGATTCATGCACATTATACGTTTGAATTGCATTTGATAGAACCACTACAATCTACAATAAATCGCCAAGTAACACAATTTGTTACTTTGTTGCAAGAATCTTGCGACATCGTGTAAAATACGAACGAAATGAAAATTGCCAATGGCGTATGTTAGAAGATATATAGATATATACGTCTTATAAAATATAATAATAAATATACCTTATGTCATCCGACGAGTTCGCCGGTTTACATTTGACGGTGTCGTAGTCCCAGTAGCAGGCGCGCTGGTTTACGTCATCTATCCCCTAAAACATTACGTAAAAATGAAATCCGGTAATAGTTAGTTATAAAACAATTTTTATACTGCCACGTGTGCAGAGATGTACTCACATGTGCATGGTGGAATCGGTGTGTACTCACATGTGAGTGGTAGTGTCAGCGTACACTCACGTATGCGTGGTGATAGCGGTGTATACTCACGTGTGCGTGGTGGTGTCGGTGTATGCTCACACGTGCGTAACGGTGTCGGCATGTACTCACATGTGAATGGTGGCGTCGGTGTGCTCACATGTGACTGGTGGTGTCGGCGTGTACTCACGTGTGTGTGGTGGTGTCGGTGTATACTCACGTGTGCGTGGTGGTGGCAGTGTATACTCACGTGTGCATGGTGGTGGCGGTGTATACTCACGTGTACGTGGTGGTGTCGGTGTATACTCACGTGGGCATGGTAGTGTCGATAATTACTCACGAGTGTGTGGTGGTGGCGGTGTATACTCACGTGTGCGTGGTGGTGTCGGTGTATACTCTCGTGTGCGTAGTGGTGTCGGTAAATACGCACGAGTGCGTAGTGGTGGCGGTGTATACTCACATGTGCGTGGTGGTGGCGGTGTATACTCACGTATGCGTGGTGGTGGTGGTGTATATTCACGTGTGCGTGGTGGTTTCGGTAAATACTCACGAGTGCGTAGTTGTGGCGGTGTATACTCACATATGCGTGGTGGTGGCGGTGTATAATCACGTGTGCGTGGTGGTGGCGGTGTATACTCACGTGTGCGTGGTGATGGCGGTGTATACTCACGTGTGCATGGTGGTGTCGGTGCGCGTGGCAGGCGGTGCAGGAGTGGAAGCGCGCGCAGGCGTCACGTGGCGGCTCGGCACCCGCAGCACCACACTCCTCCAGGGACAACGCCATCTTCACCCATATAAAAGGAAACAATGATTATACATTTATTATGTATATGCATAGAATAATGATCATGGATGAATTTTTCCTGTGGTTTTTGACATAGGCCATAATTAAAAACACTTGAAAGTGATCATGGATGAATTTTTCCTGTGGTTTTTGACATAGGCCATAATTACAAACACTTGAAAGTGATCTATCAAAAGCGCAGGAAATAATGCAGTGCCAATATATATGTGCATATAGCTCATATCTTTTTAGTAACAGAACTATTCACTACATAATGATAAATATTATGGTTATGGAACAATTGGGTGCCCGTATCTAGATATTTTTATAGAACAGGGTGACAAATGAGCACACAGTCCGCCTGATGGTAAGTGGTTCCTGTGGCTCATAGATAACATCTATCCTCGATTACGAATTAAAATGCAGATGCGTTGTCATCCGTGAGGACTAAGATCGAATGCCTCGTTTCCAGTAAAAAGGGTCAAATTTACGGTCAGCACACCGAATTGTTAAGGCGTTTTATTAGTATTTATTTAGAAACAACATGGTCATTAAATATGAAATTAAAAGAAATCACTATGACCGATCTTTTACTAAAAGCTGTTTCAAATAATTAAATTGTTAGTGTCAACATCCACTTCCAAATAATTATCATCATCATCATAATCATCACTACAGTCTCTCATAAGTACTTTAATGAACTTTAATGAAAATAAGCTAATATGATTAATATAGGCAATATAAATTACATGGCGCTTGTATGGTGTCATGAACTTTTTTTATGAATCTTTGTGTAAATGTAATCGATTCATGGCGAGTGTGACTGTGCGTAAATAATTATACGCATTAAGTGCGTAAGTAAGTGTGTGCGTACGTGTGCGTGTGTGCGTATGTGTGTGAGAGTGTGCGTACGCACCTGGTGCGTGTGGCGCAGGCAGTACTGCGCGGACGAGTAACAGGCGCCGCACCATGCGCAGCCCGCTGCCGTGCACGCGTCGCACCACTCCGCGGACGAGCATCGCTTCTCGTCTTTATACCAACAGTAAATATACATACATAATATAAATACACACACATATACAAGGTGTAAGTGTAAACACCGTTGTCACTAAAACCATAGGCTTTAATATAAAAATATTTATCCGATTTTTAAAAAAAAACGCTATTTTCTTTCATAAAATTTAAAAAGTTTCTGTCCGCACCGTCCGTAAATTCATGAATACCCTATGCGCTCGAGCGACGTAATAACTGTAAGGATCACCGCCCGCGCTAGCTACCTACACAACATTCCAATAAAAACACAATAGGTACACATAACCTGTGATGTAACTTTTCCTTCATATTTTCATCCTGGCTTAGGACAGACAAAAATTGAGGAATTAAGGAAAAATTAAGATTTTACCAAAAAACTTTATTTTTCATTGAATTTACGTCCTATAAGTGAAACCAAACCACTGGTTTCAAGGATAATGGTGTTTACAGTAACACCCTGTTTATATGTATATGTACACACACATATATATATATATACGTGTGTGTGTGTGTATAAACTAATATATTTATATTTTGTAATGCGTTTTAAATAATATGCTTAAATAAGCTAGTTTTTTTTTGCTACGACTACCCACAGCTCTTACTACACTAGCAAAGGTTAGCTGGCAGAGAATGCCTTTTCGGCATTAAGGTCGCCTTTGTAAACAATTGTGTCCAATGTAATAAAGAATTTTCTATCTATTTATCTACCAAAAAAAACTTTATCCTCCTGTCCCTTACTTATACATAAATCACACATAAACAAACACCCAGACCAGGAATCATTAATTTTCGACACACAAGAATGTGTTATAGCGCAACGTCACTGTTAAACACTTAACCGTTGCGTATATAGAAGTTTTCTAAATAGGCAGGTACATAAAAACCCCAGCCTAGTGACGAGTATTAGCTTCAAAGATGCAGGGCGTCTGCTACTACAATCGTTAATCCGCCTGCTAAGCGAAGATTAAGGCAAATCCTTCCTACAACGAGAGAGGCTTGTCCAGCAGTGGACATTCACGAGCTGATGGTAGAAGAAGAATAAAATTTTACATTTCCATGACGGAACTCTCTCTTCTCTTTAAATTGACGTTTTATCATTGAATTATCTGTTACTTTACAAGTTTCCTAATGTTTGATTGCTCTTACTTGAGAGTCAAAAAATAATATAATATAGTTGTAAAATGTGTGTTTTACAAAAGTATTTCCTTCAAGTAAAATAGCATAATTTCTTATAACAACTGGTTTTGCCCATCTCGAGCATCATGAAAGAATGGTCAGAAGAACTTTGATTAAAATTAATATAAATATATCAAAATATTTCGATGCTATGTGATCCTAAAAATTAGGGTTATTAGAAAATAGCAAGTATTGTAAATCTAAGGAGTTAAAACAAGGATATATGCATATATAAATTTAATTAAAATTTAATAAGTTCTCAAAGTTCGTGATATATTTTATTTCTCAAAAAGAATGCAATGCATTCACTTAGATGAGAAACTTAACTTATTGATGTCATACGAAGAAAATTCTGGAATTGGCCAATTGCTTATAGAGATTTCAAAATATATAATCTATGCTTGTTACGAGTTAAGATCGTATGTTATACCTCCATATAATTAACGCCGCCAATGGAACGGCTTCGCTTCGAACGGTACTCGACTCGCCTAGTGTACACACAGCTTTAACAATTATCTATATATCACATATTATAACTATCAGTACTTCGTGCGATAGAGGCGAAGCTCGGCAGTCGTCCATAACGGATAGTACGAGTACATGTGTAATATTTTTCGACCGGATAAGGTTACTTGAACTTAATAAAACTAATATTAAACTAATTATTAACTAAATAATGACTTACCAAACACCGGTTCAACTTCGCATGTTTTAACAGTGCCATCAAACGATTTTGACCAACCAATTTCCTCCAACTGTGGATAATACATGATAAAATTAATTTTTATATTATCTGCGTTTACTATCAAAAACTATAATACTGTTATAGAATAATGTTGCGCGCTATAAATTAGCGCCCAGTATATGGCGGGTGATTATTAGCGCCATCTGGTATCAAGCAGCAGAAATAGGAGCATCAAGATCTTTCTAGAACTCTCCCACTAGCGCCATCTAGTATCGAACAGAGGAACTAAGCCAGCTAGAAAATTCCACAATCGAATTTTCTACATATAGTAGGTCGGGACCGGTATTTGCTGGAACATTCGAGATGTTTCGGTGGAAAAGGCCTATATAAAGCCATTTTGGCCGCGACCGGGGCAGTATTGAATTGGCGATACAAGTGAAGACTTAGGAGCAAAATAAAGTGAACTTAAGTGTTAAGCGTGATTAATTATTAGTGTGTATTAGTTTTAATTGTTATTCGGTAATTAAAGTGTCAATTTTGGTAATTCAATCGGCAATTTTTATTGTCACGAACCCTAAGCTCATAACAATAATATACCTTTTATAAAATATATTTACTTTAATTAACTTCTTTTAATAGTTTTTTGCAATTCTGGGTGCGCGCGATTTGAAAATTAGGAGTGTGTGGTTACCTCCACACTCCTACTAGATGTGGGAGTTAGAGATGTGGAGAAGTGGGGGTGTAAAGATGAGGTGTGATAAGGGTGTGGAAGTGCGGAGGTGTGCGTGTGTATGTACGTGTGAGTGTGGGTGTGTACGCACGGGCAGGCAGCGGCGGTCGTGCGCACGCCAGGCACAGGCACGCGCGTGAGTGTGCGCGGCGCGCAGGCAGGCATCCGCGTCGCGCAGCGCGCCACACGCCTCGCCCGCGGTAAACAACAGCGCGTCCGACCGCAGCCGTCCGTCAAACCTGCACAGTGTAGTGAATCAACGCTCACAAACGACCATACATTTTGCGTTATGGTTAGAGGATACAGCAAGTCGTTGGATGTAGACGGCTCAAGACACCGCTTTATGGCATTCCTTGAGGAAGGCGTATGTTCAGCTGTGGACTTGGGAAAAGTTGTAATAGGATGGCAATTTTTTCGCGATTTAATCTTTTAATTTTTATTATTGACCGTTATCACAAAGTGCACAAAAAACATATTATAATTTACTTAATTAACATTATACAAAAAGAAACATTATACAATTAAATCACACTGAGAGTAATGCGAGAAGTCGGAGAACTTCACACTGTACAATGAGATAAATAATTTTATTTCGTTACTGTTACAATTTTTTAAATTTCCCTGCTGAACATAGGCCGCCCTATAGGGGGAATATGTATGGTTTGTATGTATTATATTGCAATAATATAAATAAAAATAATGACACGCGACGCGCGGCTGAAAGCAGGTTGCAGCGTTTGCTAAATAAAAATGTGTGGTGGCACCGTACAGAATACTTGCCAAAGATGCCACGGTTGGAAATTGGATTGGCAACCGCAGTTTTTTTATTTTTGTCGATATTAGGAAGACACTGCTGCCCATTTTCTAATTTGTTTCCCTCTGTCGCCGCTTACGACACACGCGATTATATGGGGTAGTGGATATTCTTACACCACCCCTACAATTTACCAAAATAATAACCTACCAATCGAAGAAAAATGGCCGCCACAAAACCACTCTATTCAAGTGCAGTGCGCGATTATTTAATAGTGAATATGAAGATAGGCGGATTGCGCGCTGTGGCCCTATACTTAGGCCTGCATAGTTACCGGATCTTTCACCGTTAAACTTTTTTCTGTGGTATGAAATAAATAAAAAACGTGTTTACGTCAAAGAGGCCCAAAGTTACGAAGACCGCCACAGAAAAATTATCGTTGCATTCAAGGAAGTTAAGAGCTCAAACACAATTATATGTGTAAGAAATTTTAAAATTTTTTTTTAAGAAAATATGTTCTGGGACTTTTTGTAATTTAATTACATTTGTGTAATTTACATGTACAACGCGGTCACATTAACTTGACGCATGGCTTTGATGACGTCATTTACAACAGTGTAACAGAGATGCTAACCATACTGACTACTGGAGTGCGGGGGCTAGCGGGCGGGGCCTCGCATTCCAGCGATGCGTCAAGTTAATGTGACCGCAATATAAACAGTTTATTCTAATTTATCGAATACGATATAATAAAGATAGTCGATGGTTACCTCGTTCATATGCAAAATATTTTTTTTATTATGACGATCCTACGTCCGTTAAAAAACTGAAGGGAAAATTGGTATCATAATTTGCGTCATGTAGTTATCACGTAAGCATTAGTATCTAGTGAGCATGTCATTAAGAAAGCAGTGCGTGCGTGCGTGTGCGTGCGTGTGTTTGCGTGCGTGTGCGTGCACGCGTGTGTTTGTATGTGTGCGTGTGCGTGCGTTCGCGTGTGTTTGTATGTGTGCGTGTGCGTGCGTGAGTGTGCGTGCGCGTGTACGTGTATTAGTGTGTGCGTATATGCGTGTGCGCGTATGTGTATGTGCATGTTCGCGAGTGTATGTGCGTGTGTGCGCGCGCACGCGCGCGCGCGTGTGTGTGTATGACTCACCCGCCATATATGAGCACGGCGAGGCGGTCGCGGTGAGGTAGCGGGCCGGCCACGTGCATGTGTCTGCGTGCATGTGTGTAAACTTACCCGCCATATATGAGCACAGCGGGTCGGTCGCGATGCGGCAGCAGGGCGGCCGCGTGCGCAGCGCGCGCCGCGCCGCGCACCTCTGGAGCTGCAAGCCATTGCCCGCACCTGCACACGAAGGGACCATCACGACCACGCATACAACGATCATTTAAATATTTAATATAATAAAAAATTAGATCCCCACCTGACCATCATCAAACATGTTTATTGTTTAATCACAATGCTATAAAGATACAATTCCTTATGTTAAGAAACTCGATCTGCATGTTAACACCTATTTACACAAATTCAGGAGGAGATTCGCTGACTTCTGTAATCTTATTGCGCTCTCTTTACCGTTAACAAATTATTCTGCTGATGACTATGTCGATGTGTACCTCCTCTCAGATCAATTTTTTTATAGGAGAGGGGCAAACGAGTAAGCGGCTCAGCTGATGGTAAGTTGCTATTGCCACCCATGAACAACTGTAAGGGAATCGCAGATGCATTGCCTACCTTTTAAAAAGGAGTAGGCTCTTTTCTTGAAGATCCTTAAGTAGTATCGATTCGGAAACAATATCTGGAGGTAGTCGATTCCATAAGGAAGTTGTGCGAAGAAGAAAACGCCTTTTAAATCGCAGTGGTGGACCGCCAGTCATCCAGATTTAATGGATGTTATAGCGAGTATTGTCGCGATAAAATACGCTGAGATGCAACATCTCTTCACAGTGCCAGTGAATCAAGCCGATCGGAAAAGGCTCGGTCGCCGACGATTCGAACAGCTCTGCGCTGGATGTGATCAAATGGAAGGAGCTGGCACTAGGAAACCACCGCCCAGATATGGGAACCTCCCATGGCCCCACCACCCCTCAGGTCATACGGGCCGAATCTCGGGATACGCGCGGTACTTGACTGAAGTCATTCTATCTACCCCTTCTGGGGCTGACAGCACTATTACGTCTACGTCGTCAGGCCTTTCTACCAGCATTCTGTCCTACCTTGTCTGCGATCATACCATCGATGCGCAAACTCGCGTAATAACCCGTTGTTTAATCCGAGTAGTAGATCAGTCCTTGAACCGTTCGAACTAATCATCCATCATTTTCGCTCTTAGGTCGTTCCCATAGAACATAGTGGAACACATCCTCCTCTGTCACACCGCACTCACGCATACTAATTTCGCAAAATCGCATATCGCTCAATCTCTTCCGAAAACATCCTCGGCTACCATGTTAGAGGGGTGGGGGGGGGGTGTCTCCGGCCACCTGCACTTACCAGACGAAATGCATATAATCCAATACGACCAAAGAGAGATCAGGCGCAGGACCATCTGCTTTACGTGCTTTCTGAGGCAAGAGGTGACACTGGGCTGCTACTGAGAATTTCTTAACAGAAAAAAACCCAATAACTATTGCGTATATATATTTATTTATTTATTTATTTACTAGCGACCCACTCCAGATTCGCCTGCATAGGTTCCATCAATATGGTAAGTCGCATACCTATATACCGATGTAACCAACGTTAATAGTAAATGACAAATTAAATAATAATCATTTGATTTTAAAGAAAAGTGCATTTACATTATTATTTAACAATTAATAAAGAAATATTTCTTCTGATTATTATAAACTTAATTAAAAGTGAAAGGAAGAGTGTATATATATATATATATATATATACACCATTCCGCCCGCAGGTGATCGCGCAACAACACGTACCTGTTTGGTCTCCGTAGTTAATATTCGCTATTGAGTATAAAGTTAATCTTTAGATTTAAAAAAAAAAGTTGTGTTACGTAGTAAAGTGCATGGACTACATAGTTTAAAAACCCAACTGCAAAATTAGTTAAGAAATCAAGTGTTAATCTATAAGGATAAATAAAATATTGAATAAACTGTGAGTGTGAGTCATAGTGTCAACGAACTAACAGGGCCGTGTGAATGACCGGCCTTGCCACTACATACATAATATTCAACTTCGAGCGGCAACCGTTTTACCAATCCACCGTCATTTCGGAAACTTCCAAAAACCGTCGTATCAGCGATTGCCTTGTGAGTAAATTAAATATTATTCTAAAAATTTTGTTAGTTAAAATAAACAAACATTTGTAAGTACCTAATAAAATAAAATAAAACAAAAAAAGCTTAAACTAAACCATGATACGACGCTCGCCTCCTAATGCTCCGGCATCACCCCACTACACATCGGAACCGAATTTAACATCGTGCCCCAATAATGAAAACTTAAACATAACGCAAAGGAAAAGAAAACGTGAGTCGGATGAATTAGGACGAATGGAAAAAATGATGATGGATATGAAAACCATGTTTGAGGAGTTCGTATCGAACCAAACTCAACAAAACAATAAAATAGATACCCTGCAAATGGCAGTCGAAGAAATTCGAACTCAAAACGCAAAAATCGCTATTCAAAACTCAGAAATCCGTACTCAAAACGAAGAAATCCAAAAAACCATGTCATTTTTGTCTGACAAATATGATGAGGCGGTGCTTGAGATTAATAATTTAAAAGCAGAGTGTAACAAAAATCAGCAGATTATAAAAACATTAGAAAATAAGGTAGACTTTTTTGGAAAAAAATTTGAGAGCAGCATCACTTGAAATAAAAAATGTACCATTACAGTGTCCTGAAACCCGTGAAACCCTAATAAGCACAATCCAAAAACTTGGCAATATTATTAATCATCCCGTACTAGAACAGGATATTGCAAATATTTTTCGTTTGAAGAGTAAGAAGGAATCAGTGGGTACAGTTATTGTGGAATTCTCGTCAGCGGCAGCAAAGCAACTATTTTTGAAGTCAACTAAAATCTATAATAAACAGAACAAGGAAAACCGTCTTAACACAACCCACTTACAAGAAAAAGGACCTAAGCACTTCTTATACGTCTCTGAAGTGCTCACCGCCATGACAAAGCGACTCTACTATCTTGCAAGAGAGTTTATTAAAAGTAGTGAATACGAGCAATGTTGGACAGCCAACGGTAAGGTGTACATACGCAAAAAGGAAGGGATGCCCAGCCGACTTATCAAGACAGAAGATGATCTAGCACAACTACGAAGACAAAAGTGACTAGACTGCGTTATTTTATCTCTAGCAATATTCTTCAAATATATTATAATACTATTCTTGTTACAAGTTTATAAAATTAAATTTAAAAACTATATTAATCACCAACATCATTTCATATACATACAACATTCTACAGAACACACAAATACTACACTAACAAATACATACATACACTACATACAACTAATGTTATTAACTAAGAACACATGTGCTGTGTGCAACACGAGAATATATAAATGCTATAAGCTCTCTTTTTGTACTACTTCTGGCGACCAATTAATTGTCATTATCAATTTAGCTCTATTAAATGTCACATATAAAAATGTAACTAGGAAAAATAAACACCACAATGGTAGATAATATACTAAATAACACATACAACATAGATTCTGTCTCAGTGTCGAACTCATCTACCTGTGACATAGACAATTGCATCCCACTAAACTTCAACCCTAAGCAATCACTCAAAATACTTAATCAAAATATTAGAAGTATCTCAAAAAATATGATTGGTTTTTATACCACACTCGCTAGGACTAAGGTTGATTGGGACATAATCACCTTAACTGAATGTTGGCTTCCCAATACACATAATATCCCTGACCTAACAGGTTATAAATACTTTAATACTGCTAACAATCTAACACAAAACGAGGGTGTTGTTGTATACTTACATGAAAACCTACAGGTTTCTGTAGAAGAACCCCCATTTATAGATGCAAATTGTCTACAAATAAAAATAAACCAAAATACCATTTTATTAGCAATATATCGACCACCAAGCCATAGAGATGTCACTAACTTCCTGCATTCGCTTAACATAACCTTGACTAATATCACACATTACAAAAATATAATAATAACTGGGGACATAAATATTAACATCCATGACGAATGCCAAGACATAAGCAAGCTTAATTACCTAAACTTATTAGCGTCACATGGCCTACTGCCTGCACATTCTTTGCCCACTAGACAAAATGCATGTCTTGATCATTTTGTCCTCAAAACTCTATTACCTGCTTACACATTAGTCGCCCATTCAGCACTAACTGATCATGATACCGTGTTATTATTTCTCGCAAGCAAAATGCCCAAAATAGCGGTGAAAAAAACAACGACGCGCATTAACTATGATCAATTGACTGACGACATGAAAATAATCGACTTTGGTGAAGTATATAATACCCAAGATCCTCATGTAGCAGCAGAATTAATGATAAGTCTTATCAAACAGGCGGTCGAAAAAAACACTAAAGTCGTGAAAGTAGCAAACCGTAAAAAAATCGTTAAGCCATGGATAACTCCTGGCCTTTTACGCTGTATTCGACACAGAGATAACTTACACAAAAAATCAAAGAAGTCGCCAGATAACGAAGTCTTAAAAATATCTTTTACTAGGTACAGAAACTATTGTAATAAGTTGTTAAAAAAAATTAAACTGGAATATGAAAAAAATGAATTAAAAAAAAGCTAATAATAATCCTAAGCAACTCTGGGGAGCAATAAACAACATAACAAACAGAGCGAAAAAAGAAAGAGAATTCATCCCATCACTTATTAACTCTATCATCTTCTCCGGAGCTATCTGTTAATTTAGTTAATGATTTTTTCGCTAACGTAGGTAAAAATCTTGCGGAAAAGATATTGGGTGGACTGACAGAGACAACAAAAAAAGCTTTTAACAACAACTCGCAGTCCATGGTATTGTTAGCAACGGATGAGGACGAGGTTGCAAGGTTAATAATATCTCTCCGTAACGACTGTGCTGTGGGTTGGGATGGAATATCCTCTCATCTCCTTAAAATGCATATTAATGTAGTTGTCCCACCCCTGACATATATCTGCAATCTTGCTCTCACAACCGGAAAATTCCCCAAAGCTTTTAAAAAGTCGATTATACACCCGATTTATAAGGGTGGGGACAGAGATCGTGCCGATAACTATAGACCTATAGCCGTGCTCTCTGCCTTGTCCAAAATACTTGAACGCATAATGAACAACAGGCTCGTAAACTATTTGGAAAAATATAACTTACTATCGCCCTCACAATATGGTTTTAGGTCAGGCAAATCTACGTCCGATGCGATTCATGACCTCACAAATTATATTGTTACAAACTTGGACAATGGGCAGAAAGTTCTCGGCATTTTTCTAGATCTTTCCAAAGCTTTCGACACGGTTTCTGTACCCATACTTTTACGTAGGATGGAGAGTATGGGAATTAGAGGTACTCAACTGCGACTTTTTGAAGACTACTTGAGTGGACGTACTCAGCGCGTTCAGGTGGATAAGTTCGTCAGTGCCGAATGCACAACTACCTATGGAACGCCCCAGGGCAGCGTACTTTCTCCAACCTTATTTCTAATATATATTAACGAACTGGGTATGCTCACACTTCCTAAAGGGCGAATCATAAGTTTTGCAGATGATACTGTCCTCCTTTTTAGTGCAAGTACATGGCAAGAAGTCTATGCGTACGCCCAGTTGGGCTACAACACTGTCTCAAATTGGCTTCGAAATAACGTTCTGACACTGAACATAGATAAAACATGTTATGTCCCGTTCAGATTAAAAAACAAAACATTATCCACATCATCCCTATCACATACCATCGTAAGTCACTCGTGTTGCAATCCACTCAATAATGCAGACACCTGCACACAACTACGTCAAGCTGACAGAGTAAAATATCTAGGAGTTATTATCGATAGCACTCTACGTTTTCATGAACACATTAATACACTTAATAGCAGGTTGCGTAAATTAATATATGTATTTAAAACTCTGAGAGACGCGGCAGATGATAAACTAAAGAAATCCGTATATTTTGCCTTGGCCCAATCTCTATTAACATATGGTATTACGTCCTGGGGCGGTGCTCCAAAATCAATAATGCTCCAATTGGAGAGAACGCAGAGAGCCATCTTAAAAGTCTCGTTTTCGCTGCCGTATCACTATCCTACAGAGCTCCTATATAAAGAGTTGAAAATATTAACTGTACGGCAACTTTTTATACAACGAACCTTACTGAAACAACATGCTCTATTAAAATACAATCCCTCACTCTCCCGAGGGAAAAGGCGTTTTAACCCCGTGGACCGCACTCATATAACTCTATCCACCAAACTATCTAAACGTTTCTTTTGTCACCTCGGAGGTTTTCTATACAATAAAATCAATAAAATTATCTCTATATTTAACGTCAATAAGACTACATGCAAAAGTAAAATAACTATCTGGCTACAAGAATTAAATTATGATAACACTGAAAAGCTACTCACTAATCCTAACTAATTACTATCCGTACTAAAGTTAAATACTAACCCAATCCTAAATTTAATTTCTATCCCAGTTACTACTACACTACTAACAAACAAAAGCACGCACACACGCACACACACGCACGCACGCACTCACACACACACACACACACACACACACACACACACACACACACACACACACACACACACACACACACACACACACACACACAGACTAATACTAGCACCAGATTTAAATATATATTAAATACTAGTTAAGTAAAAGAAGGTACATTATGTAAATTACAAATATGGTACATGTACATGGTAAAAGTATTGTAATTAGAACCATAGGGCGGAGACCTGGTGGCCTGAAATACAGGCGTAAAGCCTAGCTTAGGCACCAGTCTCCCACAGTATAACATTAAGGTGTAATATTCTAATATTATGTACAATAATTCTATAATATTGTGGTGAGAAAATAAATCATTTATTATTATTATTATTTATTATATATATATATATATATACATATATGAGTATGTGTACATATGTGGTAGAGCCAATCTGCAGTTATATTAATAGTTTAGTTGTAACACGAATGGGTCGGCTCGACCAGGGAAGGACCACACTCTCACAGAATACCAGCGTAAAATAGTAGCTTAATGCTGCTGTGTTTCGTATGATGAGTGTAGAGAACCGAAGATCTTTTTTACCGGAAACGAGGCATTCCATCTTAGTCCTCACGGGTGACAACGCATCTGCATTTTGATTCGTAATCGAGGGTAGATGTAGATGTCTATGGGCCACAGCAACCACTCACCATCAAGTGGACTGTGTGCTCGTTTGTCACCCTATCCTATAAAAAAAAGAGAAAAATGTATGATCACCTGACGTCGTACAAGAAGGCGCCGCCCGAGTAGCACTTTGAAGCGGCAGGGTTGGCCACGATGGCCGCGGCGCTATCGTTGTGCGCATTGCCCCCGAAGACCAGCATAATGCCTATAACCAACAATAATACGAATTTTTAGAGTGATACCCAAATTTACCTACCAAACTATCAGTAAGTGGTCCCTGCAGGACTTCAACGCTGTTTCTTCTGCATATCAATGATATGTTGCAAACCGGTAGCCAAATTTCCGGCAAACTTCCTGATACCATGCACATCATCTGGATGCTTAGTGGTCCACCACTGTACGTTTTACGTACGTTCTGCTTACGACCTCTCTGTAGAATAGTTTACCACCAGCAATTTTTCCGCACCGATACGACCTAGTTATCTTCAAGAAAAGAGCTTACTCCTGTTTAAAAGGCCGGCAACGCACCTGCAATTCCCCTGGCGTTGCGGTTCATCGTCGACATCAGGTGAACCGTATACTCATTTGCCCCCTCTGCTATAAAAAAATAATCATTCATGCGTGCGTACGTGCGAACGCGCAATCGAGTGCGTGCGCGCGTGCGTGTGTGTGAGTGCGTGTGTATGAATGAATGTGTAAGTGCGTGTGTGTGAGAGCGAGTGCGTGTGAGTGCGTGTATAAGTGCTTGTGTGAGTGCGTGTGTACGAGTGCGTGTGTGCGAGTGCATGTGTGCGAGTCCATGCGTGCGAGTACGAGTGTGCGGGTGCATGTGTGATTACCTACCAAACTATCAGTAAGTGGTCCCTGCAGGACTTCAACGCTCTTTCTTCTGCATATCAATGATATGTTGCAAACCGGTAGCCAAATTTCCGGCAAACTTCCTGATACCATGCACATCATCTGGATGCTTAGTGGTCCACCACTGTACGTTTTACGTACGTTCTGCTTACGACCTCTCTGTAGAATAGTTTACCACCAGCAATTTTTCCGCACCGATACGACCTAGTTACCTTCAAGAAAAGAGCTTACTCCTGTTTAAAAGGCCGGCAACGCACCTGCAATTCCCCTGGCGTTGCGGTTCATCATCGACATCAGGTGAACCGTATACTCGTTTGCCCCCCTCTGCTATAAAAAAATAATCATTCATGTGTGCGTACGTGCGAACGCGCAATCGAGTGCGTGCGCGCGTGCGTGTGTGTGAGTGCGTGTGTATGAGTGCATGTGTAAGTGCGTGTGTGTGAGAGCGAGTGCGTGTGAGTGCATGTATAAGTGCTTGTGTAAGTGCGTGCGCACGAGTGCGTGTGTGCGAGTGCGTGTCTGCGAGTGCATGTGCGCGAACGTGCGAGTCCGTGCGTGCGAGTACGAGTGTGCGGATGCATGTGTGTGAGTGCGTGTGCGTGCGTGAGTCTTGCTCTCTCTCTTTTTGTAACCGAACAGTGCATGAATGAATGAAAACGTATGAAAAGTGAATGAGCTGAATTTGATATTTTTGAATGAAAATTAAAGATATAAAACATACCAGGTGAGACGAATGTCGCCGTATGTAAGTATCTAGGTGTCGGTGCAGATGGAAGCGGCCTCCATACTTTGGTTTCTACGTCGTATTCGTATAATGCAGACGACGGTGCCTATAAAAGGAAAATATTACGAAACTTTTCAGTCAGCTCCCACTATACACTATTACTAAAAATACACAATTATTAAAAAAACATGCAAGTCTTTTGCAACTTTTCCTGACAAGGTCTCTAGGTTACAGGGCTTGTTAAAGCGCCGCCGATGCCGATGGCTTATTTTTTACTTTTAAAACTGTTTTGTAAAAGCCAATTTTCAATGAAATCATGCCAATTCCAACATACTTCTACAACAGTTTATAATTTTTTATAAACCCTAGATGGTTAATCGTACTGTCTTAGCGTAAAATAGCCTATTCACTCTTGCCTTGAAGACGCCCACACTGCCTAGTTAGAAAGACAGACGCCAGCAATTCATTTCACCCCGTTGCTGCACTTAGCTGAGTGCCGATGTTCCACTTCGGACTCGGACACGACCCCGGCGTGCACGTACACTCGCCGCGACAGTGCGTCCCACGCAGAGCTGCTGATGCAACCACGCGACGGTAGCTAACCTGTGCCGCCTCGGACTCGGGACACTAGGCCGGCGTGCACGTACACTCGCCGCGACAGTGTGACCCACGCAGAGCTGCCGATGCAACCACGCGACGGTAGCTAACCTGTGCCGCCTCGGACTCGGACACGAGGCCGACGTGCACGTACACCCGCCGCGACAGTGCGTCCCACGCAGAGCTGCTGACGCAACCACGCGACGGTAGCTAACCTGCGCCGCCCCGGACTCGGACACTAGGCCGGCGTGCACGTACACTCGCCGCGACAGTGTGACCCACGCAGAGTTGCTGATGCAACCACGCGACGGTAGCTAATCTGTGCCGCCTCGGACTCGGACACAAGGCCGACGTGCACGTACACTCGCCGCGACAGTGTGTCCCACGTAGAGCTGCTAACGCAACCACGCGACGGTAGCTAACCTGCGCCGCCTCGGACTCGGACACGAGGCCGACGTGCGCATACACTCGCCGCGACAGTGTGTCCCACGTAGAGCTGCTGATGCAACCACGCGACGGTAGCTAATCTGTGCCGCCTCGGACTCGGACACGAGGCCGGCGTGCACGTACACTCGCCGCGACAGTGTGTCCCACGCAGAGCTGCTGGCGCAACCACGCGACGGTAGCTAACCTGCGCCGCCTCGGACTCGGACACGAGGCCGGCGTGCACGTACACTCGCCGCGACAGTGTGTCCCACGCAGAGCTGCTGATGCAACCACGCGACGGTAGCTAACCTGCGCCGGCTCGGACTCGAACACGAGGCCGACGTGCACGTACACTCGCCGCGACAGTGTGTCCCACGCAGAGCTGCTGACGCAACCACGCGACGGTAGCTAACCTGCGCCGCCCCGGACTCGGACACTAGGCCGGCGTGCACGTACACTCGCCGCTACAGTGTGTCCCACGCAGAGCTGCTGGCGCAACCACGTGACAGTAGCTAACCTGCGCCGCCCCGGACTCGGACACGAGGCCGGCGTGCACGTACACTCGCCGCGACAGTGTGTCCCACACAGAGCTGCTGATGCAACCACGTGACAGTAGCTAACCTGCGCCGCCTCGGACTCGAACACGAGGCCGGCGTGCACGTATACTCGCCGCGACAGTGTGACCTACGCAGTGCTGCTGGCGCAACCACGCGACGGTAGCTAACCTGCGCCGACCCCGGACTCGGACACGAGGCCGGCGTGCACGTACACTCGCCGCGACAGTGTGACCCACGCAGAGCTGCTGGCGCAACCACGCGACGGTAGCTAACCTGCGCCGCCGCGGACTCGGACACGAGGCCGGCGTGCACGTACACTCGCCGCGACAGTGTGTCCCACGCAGAGCTGCTGGCGCAACCACGCGACGGTAGCTAACCTGCGCCGCCCCGGACTCGGACACGAGGCCGGCGTGCACGTACACTCGCCGCGACAGTGTGTCCCACGCAGAGCTGCTGATGCAACCACGCAACGGTAGCTAACCTGCGCCGCCCCGGACTCGGACACGAGGCCGGCGTGCACGTACACCCGCCGCGACAGTGTCCCACGCAGAGCTGCTGACGCAACCACGCGACGGTAGCTAACCTGCGCCGCCCCGGACTCGGACACGAGGCCGACTTGCGCGTACACTCGCCGCGACAGTGTGTCCCACGCAGAGCTGCTGACGCAACCACGCGACGGTAGCTAACCTGTGCCGCCTCGGACTCGGACACTAGGCCAGCGTGCACGTACACTCGCCGCGACAGTGTGTCCCACGTAGAGCTGCTGGCGCAACCACGTGACAGTAGCTAACCTGCGCCGCCTCGGACTCGAACACGAGGCCGGCGTGCACGTACACTCGCCGCGACAGTGTGTCCCACGTAGAGCTGCTAACGCAACCACACGACGGTAGCTAACCTGCGCCGGCTCGGACTCGAACACGAGGCCGACGTGCACGTACACTCGCCGCGACAGTGTGTCCCACGCAGAGCTGCTGCCGCAACCACGCGACGGTAGCTAACCTGCGCCGCCCCGGACTCGGACACTAGGCCGGCGTGCACGTACACTCGCCGCTACAGTGTGTCCCACGCAGAACTGCTGGCGCAACCACGTGACAGTAGCTAACCTGCGCCGCCCCGGGCTCGGACACGAGGCCGGCGTGCACGTACACTCGCCGCGACAGTGTGTCCCACGCAGAGCTGCTGATGCAACCACGTGACAGTAGCTAACCTGCGCCGCCTCGGACTCGAACACGAGGCCGGCGTGCACGTATACTCGCCGCGACAGTGTGACCCACGCAGTGCTGCTGGCGCAACCACGCGACGGTAGCTAACCTGTGCCGACCCCGGACTCGGACACGAGGCCGGCGTGCACGTACACTCGCCGCGACAGTGTGACCCACGCAGAGCTGCTGGCGCAACCACGCGACGGTAGCTAACCTGCGCCGCCCCGGACTCGAACACGAGGCCGGCGTGCACGTACACTCGCCGCGACAGTGTGTCCCACGCAGAGCTGCTGGCGCAACCACGCGACGGTAGCTAACCTGCGCCGCCCCGGACTCGGACACGAGGCCGGCGTGCACGTACACCCGCCGCGACAGTGTGTCCCACGCAGAGCTGCTGATGCAACCACGCAACAGTAGCTAACCTGCGCCGCCCCGGACTCGGACACGAGGCCGGCGTGCACGTACACTCGCCGCGACAGTGCCCCACGTAGAGCTGCTAACGCAACCACGCGACGGTAGCTAACCTGCGCCGCCTCGGACTCGGACACGAGGCCGGCGTGCACGTACACTCGCCGCGACAGTGTGTCCCACGCAGAGCTGCTGATGCAACCACGCAACGGTAGCTAACCTGCGCCGCCCCGGACTCGGACACGAGGCCGGCGTGCACGTACACTCGCCGCGACAGTGTCCCACGCAGAGCTGCTAACGCAACCACGCGACGGTAGCTAACCTGCGCCACCCCGGACTCGGACACGAGGCCGGCGTGCACGTACACCCGCCGCGACAGTGTGTCCCACGCAGAGCTGCTGATGCAACCACGCAACGGTACCTAACCTGCGCCGCCCCGGACTCGGACACGAGGCCGGCGTGCACGTACACTCGCCGCGACAGTGTGTCCCACGTAGAGCTGCTAACGCAACCACGCGACGGTAGCTAACCTGCGCCGCCTCGGACTCGGACACGAGGCCGGCGTGCACGTAGACTCGCCGCGACAGTGTGTCCCAGGCTGCTGAGTGTCCGAAGCCGGCGCGGGCTGACCAGCCTCGAGTTACCGCTCCCGCCCACGCGCCCTCTTCTATGTAATACTCCTGGAATTTAAAGCAATTTATAACTTTTAGTTTTTTTGTGTGATTCTTCCGAATATAATAGCGGTAGATACATGTAAAATATATACATATAAACATGCGTAAAAGGCGGACTTTCAAAGTCTGTATGCAGCGTTAGCGGGATTAGATTGGTCTCATTTAATGACTTTTACAGACGTAAATGCAGCCGTAGATTATTTTTACAACAAATTGAAAGAAATTATTAATTTATAATATGTACCAAATAAAGAAACTTTTTCTAAATCATAGTAAGTATATGTATCCCAAATGGTTCACGTCTGAGATCATAGAAAGTATTTTAAAAAAAAATATTTCCATCTGAAGAGATTTAAGCAAGAAGGAAAATTATTTAACAAAAGAACTATTCAACTTCTATCGATGAAGGGTTAAAATTTTAATTGACAACGCATATGAGCAGCATCTTAAGTTGATACAGAAAAACATAATTGACGATCCGGTATTAGTTTGGAAATATGTTAGTGATAAAAAGAGAGAAAAACGACATACGGAGACATAAATAATAGTAATATAAGGGTAAAGAAGTAGCAGGTCAAGATGCGGCTAATGCCTTTGCTGAATATTTTTGCTTTGTATTTCATGATGAAAAGTCCCTATTAAATTATGTTGATGCCGAAATTACGGCTAATTTACAAGTAAATATGGTGCCCATCTCAGTCAGACAAGTAGACGAGAGTGATTTTACATTGGCAATTAAACGCCTAAAGCCACGATCCGCTGGTGGCCCTGACCGCATTGCTGCTTTTCTTGTCAAGGATTGTGCGCCAGTTCTCATCGCTCTTATTCATTTTTAATCTATCTCTTAGACAGGCTATATATCCAGAACAATGGAAAATATTCTAGGGTGATGCTTGTTCCAAAGGGAGAACCTGGAAAGGATGTTTCTGCTTTTAGACCTATAGCGGAGCTTTCGATTTAGGCTAAGATATTTGAAACCATATTGAATTTCCGCATTAGCAAACAGTTAGATAACATTTTGCATGACAGTCAACATGGGTTTCGAAAAAGTCGGTCAACGAATACTAACCTGATAGCAAACGTGAAGTGACTATGTATGTGCAGACATGGATTCTAGAAGACAGGTAGACGCCGCATATTTTGACCTTAGGAAAGCTTTTGATCTGGTGAGTAATGACACACTGTTACAGAAGCTAGCTAAGTTAGGTTTTACTCTTTATCTTTAGATAATCGTAATCAATTCGTTATTGTAAGTGGTTACGAGTCCGCTAGTTATTTTACTAGATCTGTTGTGAGTCAGGGTAGTACTCTTGGCCCTACGCTATTTTTCATTTTTATAAATGACTTGCCTACCAAAGTTAAATATGTGAAGTGCCTGTTATTCGCAGATGATCTAAAATTAAGCTTGGGAATTGGCAGTGCTGCTGATGCACAGGCTCTTCAACAGGACATCGATGAGGTATCAGAATGGAGTAAGGTAAACCATTTTTCTCTTAATGAGACTAAATGCAAGGTTATTACTTTTGCATTAAAACCGAATCTTATAATTATCAACTGTAACTTATCTGACGCGCCTATGGTAAGAGTATATGACATAATTGACTTAGGCTTATTATTAGATACAAAATTAGATTTTCACAATCATATGACATCCATTTGCAAGTCAGCTAGTAATACTTTGGGTTTTGTGATGAGGACTGCTACTGACTTTGATGATATAAGGGTGGCTAAAGCTTTGTATAATGCGTATAGTCGGAGTAAACTAGAGTATGCAGCTGCGGCCTGGAATTCTAATGAGTTTATACTATCATGTTAGAAATAATACAACGTAAATTTGCTCATTGGCTTTATAAGAAGAGTCACGGTTACTACCCTTATTTGTATCCTTCCCTATTCGTTTTGGGTATGGTTAATCTAGAAAACTTAATGTTTAGGAGGGTGATGTCAACTATTAGGTATTATCTTTTTATAATTCACCACAAGTTGGACTGCCAGTCGGTTGTGGAGAGAATCGGTTTGTTGGTGCCCAGGTAAATGCAGAGAGATAATGGAGGAACGGTGGCTCCGCGCCGTAGGCCGCGTCTCCTAGACAGACCAGTTACACGTAACAAACGTTTATGCACTGCCTATACAAATCGAGCATTGATACTATTGCGCGCCTAAGTTGATGTCATGTACCCGGTACTAGCGCCATCTAGTGTCGGGGACCAGACCAACAGCACCATCTATCGAACAGAAGAATTAAGCTTTCTAAAAGCCCCACACTCGAACTTTCTGCGTCTGGTCGGTCGGCGCCCATATCTACGGGAATATTCTGGATGTTTCGGTGTAAACGTGTATTTAAACCCGCTGCATGCCACGATCGGGGCAGTATCGAATTTGGCGAGACAAGCGAAACTTCGGAGCGAAATCAGTGCGATAATTATTAGCGTGATTTAAATTTTAATTCGTGTTCGGTAATAAAAGTGTAAATTTTGGTAATTCAATCGGCAGATTTTATTGTCACGAACCTCAAGCTCGTAACAATACTAATAGTGGACATACTCACTCAACACTATGAAATTGACATATTTGCAGACAGTATGACACGTCTGCTGACTCTTTTTTATAAAATTATCGATAATAAGACAATTAATAATTCGACAATTTAATTTGCTTGACTATGTACTACTTATTACTTTGTATTTAAGATGTCATTTTAATTATGGGCATATATTCTAATTAGCTTTTATTGAGATTATGAATTGATATGACAAAATATTTCATAGCCTGACATTGTATGAATGCGACCTTTTTCTTTTTTAAACATTTATTAATGTTTTATTGTTTATTACTATTTTAATTTCTCAACACAGCCTGCTAAAGGCTTAGAGATTTTATATCACTAATATTGTATAATTTTTTACTTTATGATTATTAATTTTAATTATTAATTTATAAGCAATAACCACTAATTTTTGTTGTTATAATTGGATGCAATTTTTTTTTAAATATTATTGCATGTAAAATTTAACCTTTAAGCCACAAGAGTTTTTGAATTAAATAAATAAATAGCGTAAACACTTACCTGCACTATGTGCATATATCCGTAGTGCGGCGAATGTCCGAAGAAAACCAACATAACCGGCTTTTGTGTGGGCCCTATGTAAGCTAGTACTGCGGTGTGGCCAGATAAGTTAAGACCTCCTGAAAAGAAAGAAATTAAACTAAATATACTTTACTAGGAGGTAATCCCCTATTCCGGCTAGCATCAATCACGCTGTACCAGAGCAGAGTCCTGTCAATACTTTACTTCCTTAAATAATGAGAACTTCTCTTCTTACTGGCCACTGTTGGAGTGTGACATGTTTAGACCTTTTCATTAGTTTTTAATTTGAAAAACTAAACAACAAACAATATTTAATACTCTGTTACACGCAAATACTTTAACACTATAATATATTTTCTCGCCGATTAGCACTTTAACACACTTTAATTCATCACAAAGAATACTATTATCCTATATTTTCACTAAAAATCTTTAATACACAGCATAAATTTACAACTCGCAATATTCATGCGCTCAAGCTATACAGCTACACAGAGTAAAAACACTAAACATTGAAATGTGAAGTGATCTTGCAAACGTATCGCACGTGCTTCACTTTAATCAACTTCATTCCAAAAGCCCGGCTTAACGCTCTATACTAAATTGTTATGTAAACAATCGTATTTATATTTCATTATACAACGTGCCGCTACAATGGTGACATTATTTTAACACACATATACGTTTTCACATTTTCATTTCATGAAGATATTATATTTTCATTAAATGTTATTATTTACGGATTTATTTGAAATTTTAGACAACGGCATCTTAGAGCAACCTGTACGTAGAGAACTGTCGCGCAGCGGTCATTTGGCGAGGTCACGGATCATAACATCTCATCATTGAAGTTAAAGCGAATAAGCAATACTACTGAAGGAGAGGAACTTTGTCAGCAAAGCGGACGGCGCAGGTGACGTGTGCCCCTCACCCCGCCGCACCGAAATTGAATTATTTTTTTTTGCATTTCTAATGGTCGCCGAACCCGTGTCCTTTTATGTTATCTTGTTAGTAGTGCCCATAATTACGTCGACTAATATTTTTGTAAATCTTTCTGCGAAAAAGACGCTTACCTATTGTTTTATTTATCAATGTTTGTGTATTAGTACCGCGATAAAGACGCTTTTTTTGTTTTCGTTTTCTAATCTAGTACGTACGTTTACATCTCTTGTGATACGGACGCTTTTATTTGTGTTATTAGTGCTTTACACAAGCACTTTGATCGTAATGGAAAATACACATCCGAACTACACAGCAGTTGAATATGCGGACATTTAAAGCGCAAAAAGTGGTACCCATTCAAGGTTAGAAAAGTACAAACGCGTGATCATTTAATAAGAGTGAATTATTATCAGAGGTTACTGAGTAACATTTGAGAGTACTGTGACTATCTTTCCCAAATTTGTTGAACTGACGAAAGCACGTTCGCCAGAAACGGCATGTGAAACCAGCACAATCTGCACCATTGGGCACCCAAATACCAAAATCTGCGCGTTTGGCGGGAGTTCCATCAGTAGATACGGACCATCACGAGTACAAGGTTGTAGGTACCAGACTCGTTGCGCGGTTGCCATCTCGCGAAACGAAGCGTTGCCACTTCGAGTTAACTAGGTAATTTTATGAATGAATTTTTGCAAGAGTAATCCCAATTTTAGTTACATTTTTATTATTTAGTTTGTTTGAAAAAAATTTTTTTTTCAATTTACGAGTTATTTTAACCTATCAAATTTAATATGATAAATGGGGACTAGCCCGACCCGTGTGTAAAATTAAAGTCACCATTGTAGCTGCACGTTGTAGAACATTTTGCCACAGGTTAAAAAGGGAGCGATCGTCTTCTCGAAAGCCCGAGAAAAAATCCACGGGCGTGAGAGAGACGAATGAATCGACAGTCCATTGCGTGTTCGCTTTGAGACGGATAACACAAATCAGTGTATTTCGAATTGTAAGCAATTTGCCACGTGTTGAACCTGTGTAGAACTGTTTACGAGTTATTTTATTAGTTGATATTATTGATTGAGCAGTTTTGATAGGGCAAGGCCGGCTTCTAGGCTTCTATGTAGGCTTCACTACCAGATGTTAACCAAATTAGATAGTTACCGCAGTGTTTCAATGGTGCAGGTCGATGCGGCGAACAGGTTACTGGTGTAGCGTTCGTCCATACGACGGTGTTGTCTTGTATCCTGCCCTTCCAAAGTTCATTCGTCACCTCGCCAGCCCTTCCCTCGAGTCCAGCGAGACCCCCTCTGTAATCATTTTTCATTAAATAAAAAATTATCAAATTCCTTCAAGTCATTCCTGTCTACTCATAATCAACAGATATAAAATACGTTTAAATGCGTGTACATGTAATGGTCCTTCGAGCCGGATCTGAACTTATGAACTATGAATATAAGTCGAATATATATCACGCTGCTGTACCTGTAACAACAACTAAGTTAATGGAACTGGAATAAGGTTTACAATATGAGTTTTACGAGCTACTTAAAAAGAGATAAATTAACAAAAATCTGATTTTTACAATATGGAACTATTTTACAACGCGTTTATTAGAATAAACTAAGTAAGGGAATACTTACCCTCTCTCAGGTTCATCTGAAGCAACCACTCCTCCGTACACGATGATCTCGTCCCCGTACATAATAGCAGAGTGGGCGAATCGGGAAGGTGGATTTGGAGAGCCTTCGTCTAATGGGAGCATTGGATACCACTTGTTTTCAGCAGTCTTGTACCTGTAATTATTTCTTACTATTGAGGGTTGAAGGGATTAATTTTTTAAACTTTTGGTTATTTCATACTCTTTACCCTAACCCGAGGCTCCTAATGCAGCCTCGGGTTAAATATACACTAACAAAACACTTGTTTCGTCGTTTCCACTAAAAGTTCAAATACGTAGACATTAAATATATAAAATCGTATTACTTTTATGTACCAAAATTCACTTATTTCACTTTATTTTTATTGTTTTTAGGAAAACTTACAGTTATTTACAATCATTTTATTTACATTTATGCAGAAATTAACCATTACTAAGTTTTCACATGTAGATTAGAAAATAAAAGGGTAGAGTTACATGCTATCATATATTTATTTTAACTCAACCTACTTCAAACCATTAATTAAACAATAAAACAGGAGCAACAATCCGCAGGCGGGCAAGTTCCCGCTAAAAGTCCTCCGCCGCACTCACCTGTAGAGGAAGTGTGCAGGCGCGAAGGTCTCGCCACCGACCCGAAGTAAGTCTGGTCCGAGAACGAGCAGAGAGTGCGCGGCGGCGGGGGGCGGGGCTGGTAGCGCATGCGCGGCGGGCAGGGCGGGCGGCGCCGCGGGGCGCGAGTCTTGCGGCTCGCGCCAGTGCCACGCCCAACCGGCGCGCGCGCTGTCCCGCTCGCACGCCGGGCCCGCGCGCCCGCTCACACACTCGCAGCCCGCCGCCGTGCACTCGCCCGCACCGTACGCCAAGTTGCACTCGTCTGCCGTACAGTTAAGTTCACTCTTATTAAAATTACTACTGACTTTAATGCGCTCATTCATTCATACATTGCTGCCTATCAAATGTTCACTTGTAAAGTGACAATAAGACGTAAAGAAACATGCGTCTTCTGTAAAAGAAGTCTTAAATTATATTATATCTTTTTATAGAATAAGGGAAACGAGGGGCAGTCCACCTGATGAATGTAAATTATTTCCATAGACATCTACATGTATCCTCGATTAAAAATTAAAATGTTGATGCATTGTTACTCCTGGGGATTAAGACAAAATGCCTCCTTCCCATTAGAAAAGTTCTCCAAAATTCTACACTCACCATACGAAATACAGCAGCATTAAACTGCTATTTCACTCTGGTATTCTGTAAGAAATTATTCCTTCCCCTAAATTGTTATAATCAAAATACAGCTCATTATGGCACCATGTTAAAAATATCTAAATCCACTTGTAATGTAGAAAGCTCGATACGAGATTCAAAGATGTGTGCCTTCTTCTATCTCTTAAATTAGACTATCTTTTATATACAAATTTCAAGTAGGCTACATCACACCTCCCACCTACAAAGGAATTAAGAAAATATATAATATGATTCAAATAAGAATAGAAACGTCAATGACCTGAAATGACCGCGATCTGTCAACTGTCACTTGAAAAGTACAGCTTGTATAGATATTTAGTTTGAATATTAATTTAAAAAAAAATGATTTCTTTAAGTAGGTCTCAGTATTACTAAATCTATTTAACTCTAATTTTTATAAATAAATTTAAAATACTGGTAAAAGTCGATGAAATATTTTAAATACCTACATAAATCCATGATCTATTTTTATAAGAAAAAGCAGCAGCGATGATAATGATGACTACTCAGACAGTGATGCAGAGTTTGAGCGAAATTGAAATGCTAGATTCATCATGGTTCTTTTGTAAATAAATATTATTTCATTTTCTGTTTTGTTCACCGTACCTAACTAGTTTGAATTGACAGCTATGGCGTCACGATACGGAGCCACAAGTTAGTTCTATCCTTATTTGTATCGCATAGTAGCTACTTAAGCTTTTTTAACTAAAAACTAAGAATAAATTCTGTAAGTAACATGCTAAACATATGCCTCCCCCATAAATTACCGCATATGGGAATTTTTATAACTTTCCTAAATTGCCACTCTTCAGGTGGGTTACAGTTCTTTTTTTATATTTTTTGAATCTCCCATTAGTTGTTTCATTTCCGTCAATCATCTTTTACGATACCATGCTGTCACACAATGATATTTTTTACAGAAGTAAGGGTTGACAGTGACATAACATAGATAGAACATGACACAAGACATAAACACCTATATAAATTCTCGATTAATGATCTAAATACTAGATCTAGGTGTGTTGTCACACCTGAGGTGCAATGCTTCATTACCAATAAAAAGTGTCTCAGATCTCTCTGTGTACTGGCCTTGCAAGAAAGCCCAAAGCAGCTCATTAAAGCTATAAAAAATTAATCTCGGAGATTCTCTGTGTGATAAAATCAATTAGTAAGCTAAAGTTGCAAAGTATCGGACGCATACATAACGATCGATCATTCTCGAATAGGAGCCGGCAAACGCAGTTATATGGTAATCCCCATTAGACGGTCTATCGACCTGATGAGTCAATGTACGCAGGTATTTGCTCTGTGGCAATCTATGTTGGTATGGTGGGCTACAATAGTCCATCCATGCATTACAGCCTATAAAAATCCACTGCTGAACATACGTCTCCCCCATGGATTGCCTCACAAAAGGAATTTCACCATAGTTTCCACGCATGTTTTTACAATTTGGAGTTGTTATCAGGAAGATGCTGCTGCCCATCTCCTGTTTCAGTTTACTTCTATCATCCCTTATGACAACCACGGGACGATATGGGGTAGTGGATATGCCTATACCACCAGTACATGGTTAATCGGTTAGGCTGCAATAAAGAGAATAAAAAATCTCACCTGGACATAGGAGCTCGTCACAGGCCACACCGACCCAATCCGGCTCACACTTACAAACACCATCTTCGCATTCTCCATGGTCTAAAAAAAATTTCCATTAACATTAAACTGCGGTCACTTTTACTAAGGCCTGGTTTTGAATAAAACTATATATATGGATTCTTCTTTAGATTCTTAATTAAATTAAACGCGATAGAATCCGTATATTATATAGTTTCATCCGATGTGTTGTGTCCGCGTAAATTTAAGAAATCATTATGGCCTGGTGTCACGACTTTTGAAATTTGCCATGACTGTTGTATACATTGCTGGTTATGCTTAGACATACAACAACAAAATGGTAGCATATGCAGCAATGTATGATGAATTAACTTACATTGTCTCATATTTATGAAACAGGGCCAAAGAAGTATGCCTTCTACAAAACAAGATGTGTGGCACCAGAGATTAAATTTCATCTAGATCTCCTCACGTAATATATCTTTTTTACATGTCTTACTTAGCATTGTGGCCCTTGTTAAGCGATGCCTTATAAAAATCTGAACACTTACTGGAGCAATTCGTTCGATGGTCGTTGGAGGGGCAGGAATATGCAGCATACGTGACATTGAACCCCTCCATCGCGTACGCGTCGTCAGAGAAAAAATGTATCAGCACGCTCCCAGATCGCGCTACAACCTGTCGGGTCCATCCCGACTCGCCATTCTCTATAACTCCGCTGTAATTTAAACGCCATAATTAAATAAAAGCTAATGGACCATGGTAGCTCAGGGTCTGAGTGCTCGCAGTAAATTTCACAGTATGTGGGCAACCTGGGTTCGACCCCTGCCAGCACCAATGGAATTGTTAATTGCAATTTTAAATGCTATATTACCACATTCTTATCGATGAAGGAGGACCTCATGAAGAAACATACATGACTGAGAAGTAAAATATTTTGAGGACATGTAAAATCTACTAACACCTCTGGAGCAGTATGACAAACTAATGCATCCATAATCCTCTAAGGAAAGAGAAGAGGTTTAAGCCAAGCAGTGGGAGTTAAATAGGCTGTAACTTTATTTTAATTTACTTATATAAATGATAACTACCATTCACAGGCCTCTGGTATTAATAAAAAAATTATACACCAAAAGTGTCTGCATATTATTGTCATATCAGCTTCTAAGAAATAGAAAAACTTTTACAGTTTTTTAAACACAATGCAGTGATTACACCAAGGCCATAAAAAATTATACACCAAAAGTGTCTGCTTATTATTGTCATATCAGCTTCTAAGAAATAGAAAAACTTTTACAGTTTTATAAACACAATGCAGTGATTACACCAAGGCCATAAAAAATTATACACCAAAAGTGTCTTGTTATTATTGTCATATCAGCTTCTAAGAAGTAGAAAAACTTTTATAATTTTTTTAAACACAATGCAGTGATTACACCAAGGCCATAAATTTCTATAGTAAAGGGATTATATTACCTACAAGTCTTGAAAAAATGCCTATGATAAGCTGTGAACTAAGAATATTGATGATTATGTGTGACTTGTAAGGATTCTAATCCAACTGTAGTTTGATGTCCATGACTTATTATATCCTAAATATAATATACTACAGTTTATATTATTATATTATTTACACTTTATTGTACACCTTAATTAAAGGATTACAATGGGCGGACTTAATGTCTTTTGGCATTCTCTTCCAGTCAACCTGGAATCCCCGCAGAAAATTATTCATAAACAAAACATTAATGTCTCTCAATATGAGATCCTGTTCTTGAGACTCAACTAACAATACTTAATAACCTACAAAAACAATTTAAAACAACAAGCAATTGACATGTGTTTCATATACTATAAAAATATAGGGCATGTATTCAATATATTGGGACTTAAACCCACCTGAACACAGCCAGGAGCCTCTCGGCCCGTACGCTGTCTCCATCATAAACATACAAATGGTCCCACCCACACTCCGTCGCGAAACTCTCCAACCTCACACGTATAGGGGGCGGCGTGGGCCCGAGCCTCGGTGGCGATATCAGCCAAGAGCAGGCCGTGCTCACACTGTAATTCCCCGGGCCGTCTGTAATCACTCCCGCTGGGGCAGTCAATCTGGAAAGTTATGATGTGGGGCTAAGACAAAATGATATAGGTATAAAGCTATAGGAAATATATTTTTTTTTTCATAATATTTCAGTAAAAAGTAAATCTGCTTTACTACCGACAACCTATGGTGAAGGAAGGTTCTTGAGCGGCAACCTCATACCATAAGCAAAGTGTATCTGTCATGTCTATATGTATATATCTGGCTGTCACTAGATCGAGTGAAGACCTGGTAAGATATGCAGGAAGTTGATGGATGCAGGTGGCTCTGGACCACGCTTTGTGGCATTCCTTAGAGGTGGCCTATGTTCAGCAAAGAACTTGTGGAGGGCTGTGGTAATGATGATGATGTATAAAATAAATAAGAGTTCAAGCGCCCCTGCCCGCCCTAACCGCCAAGACATCTTCGAGGTTTAATATATGTTGGTTTGTTCTAGAATACTTCCCGCTTAGTGCTTTTAATCTCGAGGATTGTGGGAAGTTTTAGAAGAACACACCATACTTGAGAGAAAGCCTTTTTAATATAAATGATGCATTCAATATCAGTCCTCAGAGATGGAAAGGGATGACAGTGCAGCTGCATTTTGATTTTTAATTGAGGATAAATGTAGATGTCAATTTGTCTCCATTATTCTATAAAAAAAACCTACAAGACTGCATGCATTAAATTGATTACATTTGTGTTCTTTACTGGCTACTGCCTATACTACCTTAATCATAGCTCACTTCAATATTCCAGCAGTTTTACGGTCTGATATAATGGAGCAAAATCTCACTTGAACATAGATATATTGCATAGTAAAGCGATATTGCCCTTGAGTACCTTTATAAAGAAGCACCAATAGTGCTAGCTAAATGTGATTGCTTCTATATACCTAGAATTTTCAATGGCCATTAAACTGTTTACGTATCATTCACAATTATGTGAATAAAATAAATAGATTTGCCTGTAGTTTTATTTACTTATAACACGAATTAGAAGTTACTAGTTTTTCTAAAATTATCTCTAAGTTGCAATTAAAACACCTGCAATGATACACATAAACCGTATATTTACGAGTATGTATGTAATATGTATCACAGACATAATATGAAATGATGTCTCTGGTATGTATCATCTTAATCCAAATGTTAAAAAAATATTGTATAATCTGTGTGAATCATATCACAAGTAGCAAGGAGATTGAATGCTAATGTATTCCTATTCAATTATTTATTTCACATGTCTAACAAAAGACCATGGCAATGCTCCAGTGACAATGAAAGGAAATAATATCCTTTTGTGCTTTACCATTGCTGTGACTGATATCTCTCAGTACATATTATAATCGTAATTTAAAATAAAACAAAGAGTTGGTTGAGAGTTATTTCAATCATGGAATTTGAATTGTTCATATTTTTAAATGAATTGTATTTACTTATCGAACTTTTTCGGCAAAATTAATCATCTCTAGAGCATTGCATTCATTATGGGTCTTGCTACTAATTTGTAACCATCAACATTACCGTTTAGGGCTGTATTTATTTTATATTTTAAGCAACTTCTTCAGATTTGAAATCTTCTTTGCATTGACCCTGCTAACTAACTAATGATGTTTTGAAGAATGAAATATACATTCGATAATGCTAAAGCCAAAACTCACAGACTGGTTATTGTAGCAGAAGCATCCCCATCAGTGCTTGATATTGGTACTGGACTCACAAACTCGATGAAGTAAACATGTTATTCAGATCAATCTAGAAAAGGGTTATCAATACAAAAGGGTAAAACAATACAAAATCACTATGTAAAGCTGCTTTAATTTCCAAGGGCATATAAAAAGCCAATTTATTTATGTTCATGAGTCATTTCGTCTAAAATATAGTGATAACATCCTGAAAACGAAATGCTGAATTTCATTATGTGATTAAAACAATTAAGTGCATGACAGCTAAGATGTAATTAGAACTAGAGGTAACATCGGAACACACCTCAACCTAACAACCTAACACCTCCCATGGCCCCACCAACTAGGAGTGCCAGATCGAAAAATCAAAATATCTGGATAAAATTTGAAAATGTCGTGATTTAGGGTTGTTGTCGGCAGAAAATGAATATCAATAATAAAAAAAAGTTTATTTTTAAATTACTAGGCTACAACCAGACTTAATAGTTCACACATAACTGATATACGTACACTTACTTTGTAGGTTGCCGCATGTACCTGGCATTGTACTTTACTAGAGTCACCAATTTGGATCTTATAGTAGTGTCAGAAAATATTTAAAATTCAAACAATATACGTACTTCAAAGTTCAGTGTAATTACTAACTTAGCTTTTATTAACCCTCGGTTGGTCGCGCTTTAAACTTACGCAGTTGGTCGCGTGGGGTCTTTAAGGACCCCAAAATTTAACAGCGTAGAAAATACCTTACAATTATTATTTTCTTATTTATTTTATCATATAATTATTTATTTATATTACTTGAATAAAAAGACTATAATTTATTAGAAAATAAATGTTTATTAACTCCTTGAAACTTAAAATTAGAAAATAGGAACAAAATTTTTAGTGTTTTACATGACAGAGAAAAAAATATATTTCTTGTAATAAAAAAAACAATCGTGTTAACATTTTTTTTGGTATTTTAAGGCATTATTTAACAATATAAAAAGAAATGTAAGTAGATCCAACAAATATATATAAATTAAAAATACTTTTGCGTTTCAAATTCACACTAATTTTCCATTTGAACACAGTCAGTACATACTGATTTTGAATGTATTGGACATATATTTCCCTTACAAAAAAAGGCAGATAGTTTTAAATTTTCTATCTGTTCCCCTGGTCGTAATACATCGTTTCCTCATAGGTACGAAACCAGTATCTTCGTGAGGAACATCCACGGGACGAGGTACGAATCGCAGAATAAGCTGTTTCAATTCGCGTGGCAAAGTTGATATAGTGAGGACGACATAGTTCGAATGCTAGCGTTTTCAAGAATAACTTGCGACCTATTTGGTTGTTAGGATTTACGGTATCCAATATTATGTGGGCATTTACCGCTCCAACATCGAGCATTGTAAAGAACAACCTCAACGGCCATCGGTAGCAAACGCGTGCAACAGTGTAAGTTCCGATAAGTTTATCCACCACATCCACTCCACCTTTCGTTTTATTATAAAAAATTATGATTTCTGGATTCTTTTTCTCGAATGTCTCATCCATTATACCCTCATTGTGCATAGTTGAAAGTAGTAACACTGTTTTATCCTTTTTTGGGCAGTATGAGAGCAAAGTCTCTGTCGGTTTATATCCAAACGCTGTGGAATGTACTTCCAAGCCTTTTCGCTTGAATTCACTTGGAATTTCTGGTTTATTTTTTCTCAATGTACCCACTACTGTCAAATTATGATTTGTCAATAGGTCCTCAGCTAATGGAACACTAGTAAACCAGTTATCCATGGTCACATTTCGTCCTGTACATATTAGTTCAATCATTCGTTTGACAAGAGCTTTTGTTGAAGTATCTTGAAAGTCGGGACCTTCTGGCTATTTTCCGACATATATTTCTAAGTTTTTTGTGTAGAACATCATGGCATCCACTAGAGAAAACAACTTTATGCCATATTTAGCTGGTTTGCTTGGCATATATTGGCGAAATCCACACGAGCCTCTAAAACTCACCAACATTTCATCTATAGTAACATATTCAGTGTTCTTGTAATTTGTCTGGCAATTTTTTACAAATTGCTCAAATATCTCTCTTATTGGCGCCAGTTTGTCAACGGCTTTGTGTTGTTCCCGTGTATGAATATTATCGAATCGGAGGACTCTTAATTAAAACGTTAAACGAAAACGTTGCTTGGACATAGTAGCACGGCATTTATCTAACCCCGTACCATCAGCCATCTAAATATCATCAATCAAAGCATGTGACGATTCATGAATACCAATCAGATACATAATACCAATCAACGCTTTTAGCTCAATGATATTGGTCTCCTCACAGTCACGCTGCCTCTCGTAATTTGTCTGCATAGATGCTATCTTTATATTCGTGCACTCCACAATATGCTGCAACATATCAACGCCCAAAAGCAAAAGCCAAGATTCAAAGGGGTTACTCACTGCCCGAGCTGTACCCTGTGGGCCTGGTTGCTCTGTAACTATATTCTGTCTCCTAGTTCTGATACCCTGTGGGTACGGTGTTTTACTCCATTTGCAAATTGTTTTATAGTGGCCACTTTTATCTTTTTTTTTGAGAAAATAAAAGTTCTGTGATGACATGTGAATCAATGGCTCATTATCGTCACTATCCGAACTATCTACATCCATTTGTTGGTCTTCGGACGATTCTGACACATGATCCTGGGTTTCTGGATCACCATCATCACATTCTTGCTCTGAATCCGTGTTGTGTTCGCTTGTTTCGTCTGGGTATATATGATTTCCATCTTCATCATCCTCTCCACCAAGAATCTCCTCTTCCTCCTCCGCCAACCAGTGCAATATGCGTTCTCGTTGTCGAGCGTCCATTATAGTAACTAAAAAGCCCAAAACAACACAAAAATCATCAAAACATCATGTGCTACAAGTAAATAAAAAAATAAGTTCCAATCACTTTTTACTTACGCGGTTAGTCGCGTGGGGTCTTTGAAAGCCTACGCACAAAATAACCTTCCGTATCTCACGACGCCTGCGCGGGCACTGAACTTAGCAGCGATCAGCGGAAACTATAATCAAACTTAGGAGGGTACCTGGAATTTCAAGTTTCTATGATAGTATTAACAATAAAATATTTGCATTTTAAAAATACCTAGGCTTTTAAAGACCCCACACGACCAACCGAGGGTTAAATCAAACGTCATACAATTTCTCTCTGTAGGATATAAGATATTTACCAAACTAAACAACATTCTATAGTAATCATTGCTTAGAGAAATTGACAACACAGATGATATGAATTGTTATATCTACTTAGTCAAAATTTGTATGCCTCGATAAGGCAGAATGTATAGGAACTTTTATGTTTTAATAATACTCTTGTAATATCTACCTACATTCTATGTAATAAAAATAAATAATTATGAATTATGAATTTAAAAAAAAATATAACTATATCTTTTATTTTTTAAGTACTTTTGGTTGCATCTTTTTTCCAAAAATATGCGCAAATTATGGCACGGAAAATCCAAAACTGAAATTGCTGCTTGAGCCCAACATTACGTGGTGTACAAGGTATAAAACGCTTTTGAAATTCCTTCCTGTTTGCATTCGTCAACCCTTTACTATTATTAATATAGCTCAGACATTTGGTAACAATCTCCCATATCTCCTTTTTCCTTTTTGAGAAGCTGTTTGTCTGGAGACTTTGTATTTTGTCGGGAGTCTGGAGATCATTTAAAATGTCGGGACAATTCAGACGAATCCCGATCATCTGGCAACCCTACCAACTACCCTCAGGTCATATGGGTCAAATCTCGGAAAATACCCGCAATACTGGCACGTGGCTCTTTCCCGCACGCACTTTCCTGACTCCCCACACATATTTTGTCGATTCCTTGACCCAGTTTAACGTCATTCTCCCCCTTCTGGGGCTGACGGCACTATTACTCCTGCCTTATCCTGCAATCATGCCCCCTATGCGCAAACTCGCGCAACAGCCCGTAGTTCACCCCATCACTGACGAGATCCGAATAGTAGATCGGTTCTTGAACCTTACGAACTAATCCATCCATTATTTTAGCTGGTGTACATCCTCCTTTGTCGCACCGCACTCACACATACTAATTTCGCACAATCGCATGTCGCTCAGTCTCTTTCGAAGTCATCGATGTCCGGTGAGAATCTGAGATGTTGGTAGTCCAGTGAGACCCATATACCTGAGTCTCAACGCCACCTCCAGGAAAAATCAATGGAGCTCGTGTCCTTTTGTTTCATTTGTCCATCGTTACACCAATCACCTCAATTCAAATTTCTCTCTTACATAGGACAAACAAAAAAATGTATAAAAACCCGCATTAAAGAACACTTAGCTGATATGAAGAATCAACACTTCGGGATGTCTGCAGTCCGTGAACACGTACAGGATCGCCCCCGTTACTACATCACGTTTGATAGACCATAATCCTCGTTAAAGAACACCAATTCCTCCCAATGATAATTCACAAAGATATTGAAATCAAAAAACATCCTAATTTCAATAGAGAAGATGGCTGGGTGCTGGCATCTTGGCTTGGGATCCTATAAATATTAAAATTAAATCCCAACCCAAGCATACAACTGCAAGACTTCAAGATACTGTAAGTTCAGACTGCATAGATCGGAACAAAAATTAATCGATTTAATCTGGAGGTAGCCGTGGTCAACTATGACGTTGGGACGTTGATCACCTCAGTCCCCCCCCGTGACCATGGGTGCTGTAAAGTACTCGAAATGTCGGGAATATAAAATAAGTTAATATATGCGATAAAATCCGTAAAAACTACAAAACAATTGTACCCACCTTCATCCTACTTGGCCATCTAGATATCAAAATAAAATTGCTTGTGCAGTGACCTTTAAAAAAACATAATGGCATAAAATTCTAGTTATGATTATTAAAAACGAGATATTTGACCTACTAATGTCTTTCGATTCTTCAATAACAATTCAATTATATACTCCACAAGAATGTTCAAATAAGGTTACTTTACAAAATTTACCCTCCTATTTTGAATAAAGTAACCGATTTGAACATGCTTGTTTAATACCTATTTTTATACTGTACATTTGCATATTGTTAAAAAAGGAAATGTAATGTATTAGAAAGTAAAGAAAGCAGGTAAGAGATACAGGATTTTGATGGATGCGTTGAATGAAGTAGCCTATATTTAGCAGTAGACGTGTGCAAGGGCTGTAATGATGATGATAAGAAAGTTAAGCTATAATATTCTGCAGCTAGCACAGGTTCAGACTTAGAATTAGTGTAAGAGTGAGAAGTTTCTCCTGTGTGTTATAGGTCGGACATTCATTT